CCACACACACATATACACCAGCCCGGCTGTCTAAATGGACGGTGCGAAATCCAGAACTGGATTTCCCTCCTAAATCCCGGACTGGATTTCCTTCCCAGATCCCGGACTGGATTTTAAGCAGACTAAGTCATTGCCCCCCGCTTTTCCCCTTCTCCAGAGCAGCTGGACTTGGTGAAAGGGGTTTACGAATGTAGGTGGAAGAGCAGTAATTACAACCAGGAGAAACTGGGGGGTTTCTTTGAAGAAAGAAGTTCGGAAGCCTTTCGACTCTGCTCTCCTCAGAGACCCTCACCTCGAGCCGAACTAGGACTTAGGCTATCCTCTCACTAAAGCGGGTACATGGGTTCCCTACGCTGAGCCCCTCATTTCCTTTCACCCCAGCGAAGTAGGCTACGACTGTCCAATGCCAAATCTGTCCTGAGTGATCTTGGCATTCCAAATTCCTCGCTCCCCCAAGGAGACTGAACGGGGCGCCAAGTTGTTTGGCTGAAGGTAGGGGGCGGCGGAGAGGGGACACCAGGACGCCAGTGAATCAAAGACTCCCGGGCGGAGAGGAGGGTGTAAATCTGTGGCTTTACACCCCTCCACTCTCGCAAAAATGCATCCTGTATCCATGGCAACCATGGCTCTGAAAGTACCCGGGAAACAGCGGGAATAATGAGGGAAGAGGGATCAGTGGAAGGCAGGGGCGCCAAAGGGGACTCTGAAGAAAGGAAAAGAACGGTTTGTTGAGGAAAAAGTTGGGGCGAGGGAAGCCCCACCTAGGTGTTGCTCCCCAACGATGTAGGAATGACGCCGGTGTGTTTGTCTGGCAGATGGCGGTTCACTGAGGGAGTGGAAGCTGAGAACTCCCAAGTTCCCATTTTCCTTAGGCTTGTTGCCTTTTTTGAAAGGGCAGTTGAATGGGTGCAGGATTCGGGGAGGGGGTCTATAAATCTCCTGGTACGTTCAATTAGGGGATTCATATCCTTTTTAGAAAAGGAATACAGGTGGGTAACCCCAGCATCCCTTTATAGTGACGGCGCCTCCGAATAAGGGGGAAAGGCACTGGCCTTGGGGCGAGGTGGAGCAGGGGACTGGACGTAGCCTCTCCAGACCCCTCCTCCGAACCTTGGGAACCAAACATTCGCCCCATCTTCCTTTCTTTTCTCTCCCTCCCCCTGACGCAGCCTGGGCTATAATAAGAGTTGCCGTGGGCGGCTCTTGGAGGCAGGAGCCGCCGGCGAGCAGGGCCCGGGTTGGGAACTAAACAGGGACCAGGCTGGGGAGGGTGGGAGAGTTTGTTCTCTGAGCTGCTCTTGTACCCGAACTCCCTCAGCGCCTAACCTAGGGGTCGGCTCCCCGCATTTTTACAAAAGGACTCGGAGAAGCCGAGATGTCGCCCTCTCCTGGACACGGGCGCCTGAATACCTGCGTCTTTCTGTGGTTGTCTCTATAGAGAATGGGGGTAGGAGAGCTGTCACCTCTGTTCTGTTTTCCTATTCCTGGTCCTCAGTTTCTCCTTCTGTATAATAGGTACAACTATCTCTGAGGGACTGTCATATCCTAGTTCTTGAGGTCGCTCGGGAATTTCAGAGAGGGAAGCCTCCACAGAGATGCCTTTCCTTCTTTCGAGCAGAGCTCGTGTATAACAACCCACTCAAAACCCCTCCCTTCTCTGCTGAAGAGGCAGAGCTTGATGTCCTGAGTAGGCATACTAGTCCTCACCAGGTAGGACGTCCAGAGTGTCCCTGGGGGACATACCTACTCTCATAGCTCTAACCTGAAGGCCCTAAGCCTGTCACTGGAATGCACCAACTGTGGCCCCATGGTAATGTGGAAGGTAGAGGGGAAATATGAGTAGTATCCTCACCGCCCAGGGGCCAGCAGAGGCAGTAACAGAATCGAAAAACCAGTCACTCATTGAGAAATACGTGGGTGGTAGATTTTTCTCTCACTGTTTCCCCATTTTCTATAAATTAAGCTCCAGAAAGATGGTCTTGGGGAAGTAGAGTAGCCCTCATCTCTAACTACACCAGAAAACTACACAGGAAGACAGTTGAGAGTAAGAAAAAATGAGGCCAATTGGAGGTAGGGTGAAGCTTATGCTGGTTTCCACTTGACTTCCCTCTTTATCCTGCCTCTACCCCCATCCTAGACTACACTTGGACTGCTCTTGGTTAGTTCTTTGATACTTCAAATGTGGAGATTTTTGAGCTCAAAGGGCCAGACTCTGTTGATGGAAGTAATGTGGGGTTGCGTAGGTGACTTGCTACTGCCTAAGTCTTTCTCCCACCCTAGGCCCCTACCACAGGATTTGGGGGTGAAAAGGGGCAGAAGGATGTGGCAGATGGTGTTGCTATGGCAACACTTCCTCCCTGTGTTGTCATTGCTTGCTGTAATAGTGCTGCTAATGAGGTGGAGCGGAAGCAGGGGTGGGGAGACAGGAACAAGAGAATATTGAGGAAAAGTGACAGAAGACAAGGGCGGGGGGTCTCCAGATTGGTGAGCATATATGTCTATGCCTAGTGTGCTTCTGAATATCTGAGATTCTGTGTACATCAGTCTAAATATGCCATAATATGCATGTCTAAGAATGTGTGTGTATATATACATATATTTGTCTCCCTGGCTGTGGTTCAGCAGGTGGGTACTGGGAATGAACTTGGGAATCAAATGACCTTGCCCCAGAAGTCCTCTCACCACAAGCTTCTTCCTGTCCCTGTCTCTCTACGTAAGGGATTGGGTCACTCACAGCTACCACACCCCACCCCCAGCAGCAGCAACTGTCTGTGTTTTCTCACTGCTGAAAGTCACCTCATTAGTGACTTCTTATTGGAGCTAGAGACAGAGAGACAAGTTGGGGCTTCTTCCAATCTCACTCCACTTCCAACCTTAATAGGACTCCTTTCCCCAGAGTCCCTTTATGTGCTGGGAGATAAGGAAGTGGTTAACTCACCCATGAAATCTGAATAGGTCAAAGCCCCCCTCCTCAGATCCTCAAATACCCTCAGGTTGGGCACGAGGTCTACTCTCACCTCTAAGATTGTCCAGTGAGGTCTTGATGTCTTCCCGGAGCAGTGGCTCATTCACCTTCTCTGCCAACTTTCTGAGCAGGTTCAGGTGCCGCTTGGCAACCTCATGCCGTCTGACTTCTGCCTTTACTGCCGCTGTGGCCAACTGCCTCTGGGCATGCATCATGCCTAGGCCGGTCTGGCCAGGCTAGCAGCTCCCTTTGGCCCCCCAACCCATGCCCACAGTTACCAACCCAAGAAGGAGCCGTGCGCCTGGCTTCCACCCGCCCTTCCGTTTGTCTGTCAGTCTCACTTCCTGACTGCTGTGCTTCAAACCCACAGTCTGAGACAGCACTAACTGCTGCACCTCCCTCACACCCCCTCTAGTGTTGTCATGTAGGCCACCAAGCAGCCCTGGACAGGATTCCCCAACCAGGTGAAAGGAGACGCCTTAATGTGAAGGCCAATGCCTAGTGTAGAAGGTGTTGGTCATGGGAAAGCAGGGTAGGAATTATCATGGGTGTAGTCTGGAACAGCTGGTGTCTCCAACCATTAACTAACAAGCCTCCTACATTGAATCTTTCACACTTATAGCCTTGCATATCAGCTTACAGTTTTACACATTCAGTTTCAACATAATGAACACATTCATTCAGAAACTTGCACACACACTCATAACCTTTCATATTAGCAACCTTGCATACTTAGTCTGTACACAATCTGGCCCTGCTCTTCCCACCCTGGCCATTCCAATCCCTCCCTCTCCACCTCCTTTTCTTCCTTCTTTCCTTCCCAGATGGAACATATTCTGGAAAGAGAACAACTAAAAGGGCAGAGAATAATTAAAGATTTTGTGAGTCTAGAGGACTTGGGAGTTGATGGTGGAAATGATTTGAAACAGAATAGACCAGAGTTATGCCTAACAGACCATGATCCTAGCAGGACCAAGCCCATTCTGCTCATTTGCATATGTCTTTCTTCCTAATGTGCACATTTCTCAAGTCATTCCAACATTTACAGGATCTTTATTTTCTATCCTTCCCCTATTCTGTCACCCTAGGTCTCAAACAATGCCCTCTCCCCTGAACATTTCCTCTACTCTAACTCCAAGTGTGAGAAGGAGTTACACAGAAGTGTGTGAAGGATGGGCTGAAAAAGGAGTTAATTGGAAGCATTTTCTAAAGTCATCATTCTGCTTGAAGAAATGAAGAGGGTAAAATGATCTTTAAGGTCTGTTCAAACTTTAAAACCTATCATCCTAAGACCACCACCATTCTCTCCAATCTCCATTCCTAACCAATTTCCCTTCACTTGCCTGTCTGCCATATACTATTTGAAGAATTTAGAAAGGGAACATGGAAAAGGATAATTATCAACTTCACCCCTCAGTCGAGTTGGCCAGGAGAAGTAGTACCTATTTCAGGGTCTTCCCAAGGTATGCAGCTCACTTTGTGGGATAGAGAGAGGGCTAGTTTTCATTTCTTACTATAAGGCTTTTTCTTCTTGGGACTTCTTGGGACTCACTATGCATATACATAGTAAGGTTAAAAATCACCCTGACTTACGATGCCTTGCAAACACATCCATGTGGGGTATGTGTATTTGTGTTATGGGACTGTTTTCATGTTGATTTTTACTGTGGTCCCAGTGGGTACTATGCTAAACTGATGTACACCGCACTTCGTGGTAAAGAATGTGCATGTTTGCATAGGTACGAGGTAAATTTACATTCAAGATGGGGGGAGGTGAAGAAAGGGTTGAACCTTAGGAAAGTAGGCAGCACAGTTTAGTCAAAAGTGTCACTAAACTGGGAGCCTAGATATAGATTCAAAATTTGACTCTGCTATTTCTTTTTTTTTTCTTTTTGGTGAGGCGATCCGGGTTAAATGACTTTGCCCACGGTCACACAGTTAGTAAGTGTCAAGTGTCTGAGGTCACATTTGAACTCAGATCCTCTTGACTCCAAGGCCCGAGCTCTATCCACTGCACCATCTAGCTGCCCCTTCTGCTATTTCTTGTATGGCCTTGGGCAAACCACTTCAAGTCCATGGATGTCAGTAAAACAAGGAGGCTGTGATATGGTAAGGTCCCTTCTGGTTCTAACATTCTACAATGTTTCATGCTCTCCCAGTCTCTTCCCTGAATTCCTTTAGTTCAACAAAATATTCAAGAAAATTTTATTTAAAATATAAATTGGTAGTGAGCTAGGGAGCTTGGTTTTATATCAACATTTCCCAAAGCATCCTTCCCTCTCCCAGAGAGAGGAATTAAAAGAAAAAAGGAGAAAAAAATGTTGTTCAGCAAAACTAACCTGAAAAAAGTTTGATATTATTTGTAGTGTTTTGTACCCATAACCCCCATCTCTGCAAAAAAGCAGGGGAAGTGTTTTCTCCTAGGTATTTGGGGCCTGGCTTGGTTCATTATAGTTTTATATCACACGTATCTGTCTCTATGGCTTCTCCAGTTCTTCTAGTTTCACTTTTCTTTTCATATGTCTTCCCCGGCTTTTCTGTTTTTATCATATTCATCACTTCTTATAGCACAGTAATATTTCAATAAGTTTATATACTACATTCCCTAATACATGGGTCCTTATTGTGCAAGAAACATTTATTAACTACCTGCTACCCAACCCATATACAAAGATTTCATATATATATACATATATATACACACACATATATGCATATATATATACATACATATGTATATATACACACACACACACACATACATACATACATACACACAAAGATATACAAGGATAAATAAGGATGCAGACTTATCATAGAGTTCACAATCCTGGTGGGGGGGAAGAGATGTCACATACACAAAATAGCTAATAACAAGGGAGAATGATAGAAGTGCAAAGAGGAAGTCCAGATGTGAAGTACTTGGAAAATTTTGATGAGGGGCAGATCATTTTCACCTGGGATTTAGGGAAATTGTTTTTTGGAGAAAGTGGCACCATCACTAAAAGTCTCTAGAACATAGGGCCTGGGAAGGGCAAGTACATTTCAACCCCCTCACACACATATGCTTGTGTTTGTAGTTGCCCGTGGAGAAACTCCGTTAATGTTATTATTTGCTTCTGTTCTTGTAGGTTGTCCTTCACTTCTGTGTATTTGCATTCTCAATCTATTGTTCTCTCTTTTGTTTCTTTGGTGCAGATTGTCATTGAAGATTCAAGTCTTTCTATTCTATTCATTATTTTTGCTGGGCAAGCCATAAATTCTGCCCTCATAATTCTCATTTCTTTTAAACCACTCAGGAACAGCATGTTGTGTTTCCACGTTCTCCTCACATTCCATAGGGTCCTCTATCTCATGAAGTGTTGGATCATTTTCTTTCGTTTTGTAGATTTATTCATAGATGTCTGAACTGATTTCCTAGATCCACAGGCTGTATTTCCTTCTACTCTTCCTGGGTATTTTTTTCTGTTGATTTATCAGTTTATGTTCAAGGTGTTTGAGATGTCTTCTTCATGAAATCTTTGGTATTTTCAGTCTTTCTCTGCCCCCCAGCCCCCTTATTTTTCTTATTTACTTTCTGACCCCCCCTCCTCTTTAATTGTGGTTTCCTTGGGGGCTAAATCTCAAAGCATCTTGGGTTCCTCCCACATTGGGCATTTCATTGTTCACTAGCTTAGATCTCTACCCCAACTAACTTTTGAGTGGTCAGAACTAGCCCCAGATGGATTCTGTACTCTTTCCCTCAGGCTTGGTGGAATGCTATACAGCCCCCTGCATCCACAGTGTCCTGTCCTTCTGGTGACCTGTCCCATTCCCCCGGCTCCTCGGTTCTGAACCAGAAGTTCAGAGGTTTGCAGCACTGGTACTTCTGCAGCTCCCAGCAGGCTTTTGCTCCTGAAGGATGTGGCCAAGTTGGCTGTTGAGAACCAAAGAAATTTCTGAAGCCTGGAACTGGGGTCTCCACAGCACTGGAAAGAGGGGAGGGACTGGGGTGTAGGGGTGGTTTCCTTGGTCTGCTAGTACATCCTTGCTGCTGGTAGTGTGGGAAGTGAGGGAAGGGTGCTGAGTGAGCTCAGGGTCAATGAGTGTCAGTTCCTAGGTTTGGGGTTGTCCTTGTTGTTTAACTTTCTTTTGGATTCTGGGTGTCCTAAATGATATAAACAGCTGAAGTTGCTTTATCTTTGGCACATAATTTCTGTTTTGAAGAAGTCACAGGGATTGGAGAAAACGTTTAGTCTGCCATCTTGTTACTCACATGACCCAGAAGTTTTGTGGGTTTGGGTTTGGGGTGGGGAGCAGCTATCTCAATGTCCTGTTCCTTTTGAATTTTGTAAAAGGTACTAGGAGAGGCATCTCCTAACATAATGAATAGAGGGGTTGGCTTCAGAGTTAGAGAGAACTAGTTCAATTTCTGCCTCTGACATATATATCAATTTTTTTTTTTGGTGAGGCAATTGGGGTTAAGTGACTTGCCCAGAGTCATACAGCTGGTGAGTGTCAAGTGTTTGAGGCTGGATTTGAACTCAGGTCCTCCTGACTCCAAGGCCGGTGCTTTATCCACTACTCCACCTAGCTGCCCCCACATATATCATTATTAAGGTGCTTAGCCTATGAGTGTTCCAAGCAACTCTCTAAGACTGCAAGTAATAAATATGCAACAGCAGAGGGAGTTTTATACCAAGAGTTCCAAACCACACTGATGAAATCACAAGTCTGGATGCAAAAACTAAGGCTGGTAACTTCCTATCCTAGAAAGGAAAGGATCTGGGTACATACAGCATGTCGTAGTGGAAAGAATACTGGATTTGGAATTAGAATCAATAGAATGTGAGAGTTGAAAAGGACATCAGTGTCTAGCTAGTTCAAGCCATACATGAAAGGAATTCCCCACTAGAGCATACACAACAAATGGTTGTCAAGGTTCTTCTTAAAGACCTCCAAAGAGATCCATTTGTTAACTCCTGATATCAAGCTGTAATCGACCCCCATGGAATTTCTATCCAGGACTCTGCTTATACTCTCTGCCAAACAGAACAAATCTAACCACCCCCATGTGACACCCCTTCAAATACTTGAAGACAGCTACCATGTTCCCAGTATTTTCTTTTCTCCAGGTTGAACATATTTTTAGTTCCTCCAAAAGATTCTCTCATCCTGAACTCAAGGCCCTTCACCAATCTGACTAGCTTCCTCTGAATGCTCTTCAGCTCATCAAGGTCCTCCTTAAATCATGCCACCCAGAACTGAATGCAAGAGTGAAGATGAGATCTGTCTGATAAGGCAGAACACAAAGGGACTATCACCCTCCCTAAGGATTCTTGGAAGCTATGGTACTCTTGATGCAGATCACATTAGTTTTTTGGCTGTCCCCAAACACACTGCTCTCACATTAAACTTGCAGTCCACTAAAACCCTCAGATCCTTTTCAGAACAACTATTATTATCCAGTGTGTTAGCTAAACCTCCCAGCTTGGTGCCCTTTGTAAACATGATGTACATGCCATCTAAGCCTTTATCCAAGTTATTGATAAAAATGTTAAACAGCACCGGGCAAAGATCTCTGAGCTACTTACTCCAGTGGAGACCTTTTGTAATGGTGACATTGAATCATAATAGCTATTCCTTATTTCACTCAACCAGTTCTTAAGCCATCTGAATGTATTCATCAATCCACACCCCATCTTCTCTGGAAGAATAAATGAGATACATTATCAAAAGCTTTATTAAAATCTAGGTAAAATACATCCACAGCATTTCCCCCCATCTAACAGGTTAGTAATCCTGTTAAAAAGGGAAATGAAGCTAGTCTGGCATGACCTAGCTCTTTGGAACCACTGCTTCCCTTCTCAGATGTCTACCAATCATTTCTTTAATTTTCTAGAATTTTTCAGGCATCAAACCCAAGCTCCTTGGCCTATCATTTGTATGCTCTGTTCTCTTCCCTTTTTAGAAATTCCTGTTTTGATAATATAAAACCCTTCCTCACTCTTGTGCTGCCTCTTCCATTTTCCATGCTCTATCAAATACAACTGACAGTGGCTAAGCAGTCACATCTGACAGTTCTTTCTGGGCCACAGGATGTAGTTCATGTGAGTCAAGTGATCAGAATTCATCAAGGGCAGCTAGATCTTCTATAGCTATTACCTTCTTTATCTTTAGTATCACCCCTCCCAGTTAGTACTTTTTGTTGTCATTTACAATTATAAATACCATTCTCTTTTACAGAGGAAATGCAAAGTTAGGAACTGAGCAGTTCTGCTTAATTAAGACTTGTGTGGCTTTGACAAAAGTCATTTCAGCTCTCAGGGCCTCAGTTTCCTCATCTACAAAATGAAAAGACTGGTCATTAGATAATCTCTAATCTCCCTTTTAACTCTAAATCTATGAGATTAAGACTAGAAGATGCCTAATGTGCCTTCCAGCACAAGATGATCTCTAATCTCCCTTTTAACTCTAAATCTATGAGATTAAGACTAGAAGATGCCTAATGTGCCTTCCAGCACAAGATGAGGATAATAATAATACTCTGGTTTACATAAGTTATCTTATTTGATCCTCACAACTCTGTGGGACAGCGGTGCTATTATTATCACCATTTTGCAGATGAGGAAGCTGAGGCCCATTCAGATTAAGCCACTAGCCCAGGCTCGAACAGCTGGGAAGTGTCATCTGGAGCAAATCTGAACCCAAGTCTTCCTGTCTCTACCCACCGCACCACGATAGAAGCCCACTTTCTCTTTTCCTTTCCTGAACCTCAGTTTTCTCATCTGTAAAATGGCAAGGCTGGCCTGGGTGACAGCCGAGGCCTCTCCATCCCTCCGGCCCGGGCTCCGCCTTCGCGTGGCCCGCCGCCCAATTTCGCAGGCCTTGGGCGGAGTCCAGACAGTGAGTGTGACGCCACAACAAAACAACCTCCCCATGAGGTCACTGCGGGACAAGCTGGGGGAGGGGCTTGGGGGGGCGGTCCCCCAGAGGTGGGGCCCTGCTGCCCCGCCCTTCTCTGCCCCCTATCCCCCTCCTCCCCCACCCCGCGCCTATTCTACCTCAGCGCCCGGCTCTGCTCCAGCCCCCCGCCCAGCTTTCCACTCGCAGCCTCTCTTTCGTGGGGAGGTCCACAGTCATCCAGGGTTTTGTAGCAGCAGTAGTGGCGGCAGCAGCGGCAGCATTAGCCCTAGTCCTCTACGGGAGTCACTGGAGGCCACGCCCCTTTCTTACATCTCACCCAATGATGAACGGGCCGGTTGCGGGAGCCCTGGGCGGTGACTCCTGATTCGATTGATCGACAGACTTACCAATCGAATGATGAAGTGAGCCTCGAGCCTTACCAATCCGGAGGCAGGGGCGGAACCGTGCAGGCGCAGAGTGCGGGGGTTTGGTAGAAGATGATTTAAAGAGACAGAAGCCGCCGGGGCCTTAGCGGACGGTCCCCGAGACCTTTCGCACCCTTGAGTCGTCGGGACCCTGGTCCCCAGAGCCGGGAATATGGTTTGTGGCGGCTTTGCCTGCTCCAAGAATGCCTTGTGTGCGCTCAACGTGGTCTACATGGTGAGGGGAGGGGTCCCTGGGGGACTTCCGGTGGGGAGAGGGTCCCCTGGGGGTTTCCAAGAAGATTCCTAGGGGGATTTCCGGGGGGAGCAGTGCGGGGTGGAGATTCCAGGACTTCCGTGGAAAGGGGGAGAGATTCCGGCCACGACGGGGGAGGGGGGACACCCAGGGAGGTGGGAGGCCGGGGTGTGTGGGTCAGTCCTCCGGCCCCGGTGTCTCAGTCTCTGCCCAGGGCGGGCAGGGGAAAGGAGCCCAAGGTTCCATTACCGGGTCTCGATGTCCTGACGATGCCGGGGGTGAGGGGTGGGTGGGGGTGGAGAGCGGAGGGTTGGTCGGTCCAGAAAAGCCTGCAGACCCATTCAGGATCCCACCGTGGCCGCCCCCAGCCCTCGGGGTCCTACGTCGCGCCCTGCGCCCCAACCTTCCTCCGGTCCCCTCCCCTCTCGCAGCTGGTGGGGCTGCTGCTGATCGGTGTGGCTGCCTGGGGCAAGGGTCTGGGGCTGGTGTCCAGCATTCACATCATCGGGGGAGTCATCGCGGTGGGTGTCTTCCTCCTCCTCATTGCCGTGGTTGGTCTCATCGGTGCTGTGTACCACCACCAAGTCCTGCTTTTCTTTGTATCCTTATCTGGCCAGGATTCTAGGGTGAGGGGAAGAGGGCAGGGGTTGTGTGGAAGACTGGGAAGCAGAAGGAAAAATGTCCAGGGGACTCCAGGCAGTTTGTTGGAGTCATGCCTTACTTAATGATAACTACCTCCGTCCCTAGTGTAGAACAAATAATTGGTTTTCCTTTAAATTTCTAATGATGGTATGAAACCAAAAGTATTGATGGATATGATTAAAGTGAGTGTCTCTGGTTACTTTTTCCTTAACTCAATCCCACTCAGTATATGATCATACTTGTTTTGGTTTTCATCTTCCAATTTGTAATCTCTTGTTCCTGTCTGGCAATTAACAGAAACACACAGGTAAGGGACACATTTCCCTACTCTTCTTCCCAGCAGCTTCCAGCCCTCCTTTTCTCCTAAGAATCTATCAGTCTACCACTTCCAGTCTCCTGACTCCAAACCCTAGATTTCTAGTTACTTTGGGGTCTGAATGATTGGAAAATGGAAATCTTCACATATATGATTATTGTACTCGTTAACACCACAGACCCTGGGTTTTGTTCCATGCTCCTCAGATGATAAATTGGGGCACAAGGCTTATCTGAGCTAGTCTAAAGGCTCTTCAGTTAGAATCTGGATTGTTTATTAGTACTGCATTTCTTTCTTTCTACCAGAAAGATGTCATCAGCACCTATTGGTTGGTCATGACGAACAAGACACGGAATGAACTAGAGACAAGTTTGGATTGCTGTGGCCTCTTCAACTCCACAACCTTATACTTCCAGGACTATACCTTTTGCACTGCAGTGAGGATGGGGGCTGGGGATTACAACAGTGGATAACGTCTAGAGGGGAAGGGGATTGGCATTATGAGATTACAGAAGCTGGATGAAGAATGAATGGCTGGAAAAAAGAGGGCAAAGATGAGGGATGCTTGAAGGTTGAATGATGATCAGTCGACATTAATAACGGTTAACCACTTCCATCAATATGGCCACTTGGAAGGGAGTGGGGTAGGACATGCTTTTTTATCTGCCAAGAACCGTAATTTTGAATCCTCTCATTTCTAGCTCTGTAAGACCCAGAGCCCAAAGTGCCAGGTTTGTGGAGACAAATTCCTTAAGCATTCAGATGAAGCACTGAAAATCCTAGGGGGTGTTGGACTCTTCTTCAGCTTTACAGAGGTGAGGCCTTCCTTTTTTTGACTTCCTATCTTCCACATCAGCCCTTTTTTCCAAGTGTTATTTATGAACTCAGTGTGGGTTTAAGTGCCCTGTATACAGGTGCTGTTTCTTCCTCTTTTGCTTCCACTTACATTTCTTTCCTTCTAAAATGTCTCCATTCCCCCCCCCCCCAGATCCTGGGTGTGTGGCTAGCAATGAGATTCCGGAATCAGAAGGACCCTCGAGCAAATCCCAGTGCCTTCCTATAAAGATCTCTGATGCTCCTGACCTTCATTTTCCCCACTTCCCCCCCGGGGGACCCCAAGGCCTTTTCCATGTAAGGAACTAGGAAGAGGCCCTTCTTTGCTACACCTCCTAAGCTGATTGGACAGTTAGGTTTCTGTCCTTGACATGACGTTTTGGGGATAGGCAGAGTTGGGAAGATTCTGAGCACACCCCCATACCCCCAGGAAGGGGGATGCTATTTATCAAGTGCATGTGATTGAATGGGGCAAGAAGCCCCCTGCAAACTCCAGCCTTGCCCTAGACTGGCTTGATATGTCTTACCCTGCCCAGGATTTCAAGTCTCCAAGGTTAATCACAGCCAATCACCCAGAATGGAAGTGATTTCCTTGGGGGTGGGTGGGTAAGGGTCCTCCAAAGGTGACAACTTTCTCATGTCACTGAAAGCAGAGGCTTTGTATTTTTGGATAGTGTAGTGAATGTAAAAAATAAAACCTTTTTAACCCTGTATTTGCATAAGCTATTTTTGTGTTGTCTTCAAATGAAGACTGTATTAACTTCTCAGGCCCTATATTATTTATGTTACTCCACAAAGGCCTTGTTCAGTCACTTTTAAACTATGTTGCTTATTTCCATCCCCCACTAAATTACAGATTCACAGTTAATCAGAGCCAGAAACATAAAAACCAGACCAGCTTCGTGTTTTTTTTTTCCTGTATAAATCCCCCTTTCCCCCCTCCCCCCAAACATAGGGGTTTAGGGTGGGACAGAGGGATGTCTCACAAAGGGCATTGGTGGTAGGGGAATGTCATTAAGGCAGTAAAAGATTCTGTGTAAAATGGTTAAAGATTTGGGAAGGGTATGTGTATGGAGGATCACGCTCTCCCTCCTGCCTTGTGATGCCATACAATCACGGTGGCGATAAGAGTGATCCTAGTGTCCGTGTGGAGGGGAAATGACAGCTCTTTCTTCTTCCTTCTTTATTGGTCCTGGATACAGTCCCTCCAGTAGTCATTCTGGGTTCCCTTCCCCAGCTGTCTGTAGATAAGTGTGTTGCAGAGCTCGGAAAGCAGAGATTCGTTTGTGGGGGCTAAAGGTCAGCATTTCCTGAAAAAAGAATGTTAGAATGTTTTGAATAGAAAAGACCTGTCTGACCATCCTTAGGATGGATTCCTTCCCTTCCGACCCCTTCCCTCCCAATTCTCATGATTTTTAAACCTTCTACCACTTGTGATTCACATCGTATTTGTGCTTTGCCCCTTCTGAATTCCCTGAAAGAAGGGAGGATTGTCTCTCTACTCTCCCCATTGCCCCTTACCAGTAGCAGTTGTGCTCCAGGTCCCTCCAGCTCAGGCACAACAGACTGTAAAGGCTGGGGACTACAAGGAGTAAAGGCTCCACGGGGCAGAGAAACATCAGTAGGCCAATCATCTTCTGCTGGGAGCCCAATCAGGCTGTAGAGATAAGAGAGATTTGTGATTAAGAGCTGCCCTGGATTCAGAATCTTTTCTCCCCAATTCCACAAGACTCTTAAAAGCCTCCCAGAGAAGGATATGGGATGATAAACCTTGCTTCAACTTTCTATTCACTTACTCAAAGATTTTGCTTAACTGGTCAGCTTCAGAGTTTCCACAGAAGAGAGGCCTGAAGGCAGAAAAAGGATAAAAGAATAGTAATCAAGGTGTAGAGTGGTTGGGGGGAGGGGGAGAGAATCACTGAGGTCCCAAGAATAGTAACAATTGTCAGGGGTCATTAGAGCACTTTCAAAGATGCAGAGCACTTTTGTGTCGGGAAGGGTATAGAAGGGATAAGAACTGAGGCTTTCTGGTGACTAGAGAAGGGGAGCGAGTGAAGTCTCATGAGCTCCTCACTTCCTACGGAACATCTCTGCGAAGATGCAGCCAACACTCCACATGTCCACAGGTGTTGCATATGCTGACTGCAGGAGAACCTCAGGAGCCCGGTACCAGAGAGTGACTACCTGAAAGAGACAGAAAAAGGAACCTCTAAATGGAGGATGGGAGAGGGGTAGGGATGAAGCTTTGACATACAGGAGGTCCCACAAAGTTTCCCTACTCTTTTGTACCAAGCTGTCCTTCTTTCCTCCAACTTCACCATTCCCACCTCCTTTATCGGCCACCTCCAGAATAAACTACTACTCCTTAAGAGTTCCCACTGACCACAGGTGTGAGTGCCATCTGGCAGCTGTAGATCCGGGCTAAGCCAAAGTCAGCCAGCTTGACTGTTCCACTACTAGTCACAAGGATGTTTTCTGGCTTCAGGTCACGGTGGACAATGCAGTTGGCATGAAGAAAGTCTAGGCCTCTTAAGAACTGTCTCATTAGGTCCTGGAAGAAAGTGTGACAAGGTCATTGCAAAGAAGTCTGGGGACTATGTATACTTCCTCTCCAAAAGCGCCATATTCATTCCCATTTACCTCCCCACCCACAGCATTCCTAGGCTCACACCTTAATGGTCTCCAAGGGCAGCCCTGGTGGAGGGGCCTTGTCCAGATACGTCCTCAGGTCTTGGTCCACGTGTTCAAACACCAGGGTCACCTTGGTCTCTCGGTCAGTTCGGGCAGTGGCACAGACATCCATCAGCCTGATCAGAGCAGATGATTACCGGGGAGGCTCTCTCCCCAGTTGTCCTCTTTGCTGTGCTCCTGACCAATTCCTGTTTCTCAGTCTTGTTTGTACAGCATGCCCTCCCCCCGCGCTCCTCCTCCCACAGCCTTAACCCTCTAGTCTCATCTCACCGGACCACGTTGGGATGCTCAAAGGCCTCCAGCCGCCGAAGGAGGGCCACCTCCCGGACAGTGCTGACAGGCAGGCCCCCTCCACTTCCTCCTCCGGTCGGGACTTTCACGCTCTTGAGTGCCACGAAGTGGCCGCTGTGGGGGTCACGGGCCTTGTACACGGTCCCATAGGCACCAACACCAATCTCGGCCACTGGTTCATACCGAGGAATGTCCATCCTGGGCCTAGGAGGAGGCGGCTACCATTACACACCCGGGCCAGGTTGGGGTTCTCTACGCTATGACCCCTATCGACCACTCCGAGAAAACGGAATCCTCTTCACCGCCCCCTCACCAACCCTAACAACGGCACACTACAAGCCACGGTTAAGCCAGGGCTAAGACCGGTCCGCGCCCCCTCCGCTCCCATTACCCGTCTACACCACACCGCTAACCAGCCCCGGGCCCCCTCCCCGCCCTTACACGCCCGCCGGCGACCCCGCAGCCCGGCTCGCTCGGCCTCCCGGTCCGGCACGCGGGGAGAGGAGGGAGGGCAGGGGGCGGGGACTCGGGCCATTCCGCGGCAAAATCCGCTCCCGGAGAAAGGCCCGGCCCCTCGCCGAGCCCGGGCGGCCCGGGACACGCTCACCTCCTCCAGCGCTGGGGGCCGCGCCGCGTGGGGCGGGGACGGACCGTTATCTAGGCACCGGAGCCGCCCCCGGAGGAGCCATGCAGGGTAACTCGGTCCCGAGGGGCCGGACACGGCAGGCCTCACCATAGACTCCCGGGGGCTAGAGTGGATCCCTCTCCCACACCCTCACCACGTGACCGGCGCTGCCAAGGCGGCGCGCGGAAACGGGGAGGAGGAGGAGGGAGAGACTGGCGCACGCGGGACGTGAGGGAGCACGTGACCGGCCATTCATGCGCCTTAGGGCGGCTCAAGAGCTGGGTGATGAGGAGGCGGGGAGCAAGCTGGCCAGGAGAAGGGAATTTGGACACGTGATCTGTTGCTATCACACGTGACCCACTGACATTTCAGGGGTGTGCTTATGGAGGGGTCATGTGACCTGGCCTCCACCGTCCCTAAGGAGGTGGGGGCCAGAGAGGGGGAGGAGCCCTGGGGTGGTGCCATGGCAACCGAGGCCACCCAGATCCCTGTTGTGGGTAGAAGGCTAGAGGAGAGATTGTCTCTGTGCCTGGTTGTCTCTTTGTTTTTTTGTCTCCTGCATTCTCAGGACATTTCTTCATATTGGGAATCTGCTTTCCATCCTCCTTCCCCACCTTCCCTCTCTGCCGCGCCACCACTCCAAAAAAAAGTATAGACAAGAAAAGCATTGAGTGCCTCATGGAAGAGGGAATCGACTTCAGCTTAGCCCCAGAAGGCAGAAGGAGCAGTAGGTGGACGTTACAGAGGGGCAGACCGAGAACGTTAATAGCAGTTGTACAACTTTGAGAACAGCTACCTGGAAAAGGAATGAGCTCTCCATCACTGAAGTTTTCAAGCAGAGAATGGGTGACCAGCCATGAGAGATGTTGTACAAAGGATGGGGAGAACGGAATAAATTACCTCTAGGTTCCTTCCCAAACTCAGATTTGATTTTTATTATAAAAGTATCCATAAGCATATAATACAGTTCTGTACATACATAGGATCCAGCAAGTATAAGGCTGAATACCAAAAATGGGAGTAAGACAGGGATAAGTGGGACCATAGCTATAGAGCTGGACACCTCAAAGCTTATCTAATCCAACCCCTTCATTTTACAAGTGAGAAAACTGAGACTCAGGACAGTTAAATGACTTGCCTAAAGTCACACAGTGACAAAAGGGAGATTTGAACTGAAGTCCTCCCCCCAACTCCTGTTGCAACCCTCTCATACCCTAAGCCATCGTTCTGCAACAAAGTGAGCTTCTGACAATCCCTGCCCCAAATGTTCCTCTCCCCTACCCTCCCTTAATCCTAAAGGGAATGGGGAGAGGGATTGGGAAAGACACATCTACTCCCAAATTCGTTTGCCACTCAGTTTTTCTGACTGTATGAGTTCTAATTCCATTTTAGAGATTCTTTTAATATTCAGTATCTCAATTAGGGCCTTCAGTGCCTTTCTTCCCCATCATTCTCTTAAGCCCTTTGTAACAGTTTCAAACTTGAAAGAAGGACTTTAACATTAAAGAAAATCAGGTTTAGGAGTAAAATAGGAAGGTAAACACACTTTCCCCCTCGCTCCTAGAGCTACTTCCTGCTCCAGATTTCTATTAAGGGAGGGTAGCAGAGGTACTAGCTTGGGGTGGGAAATCTTGAAGAAATAGGGATGAAGATTGAAGGGAATATTTACACATTGGTCACTTTACAAGAGTTGACTGGTTGATGAGCCTTCTGCAAGGTGAGATAAAGGACTAGTGTTTTGTCTTAATTTATCTTGTCAAGACTGATTTATGTTGTCTCCCTCATTAGAATGTATGCATCTTGAGAGTGGGAACCACTGCCCTGTAGTGTTAACACTAGACAAAATTAACACAGTGCTTACTAAAGTTTCCTCTTCTTACACCCTCCATTACACAGGTCCACCCCAGTTCACTCTAGACCCCAAATTCTCCTTTATTTCAACTACTTTCTCTTTGAATCTGTTTCCATTCATTCATTCAAAATCTAGTATTGATAGGTTTTTGTTTTTCTTCTCAATGGATGGGGAAGGAAGAGTAGGAAGGGAAAGAATTTGGAACTGAAAACAAAATAAAACTGAATTAAAAAAAACCCAAAATATATTATTGAATTCACTCTTTCCCCTCCCCTCCATCAGGGAAGCTCTGATTTTTGCTACCTGCCCCTCCCTATCTCTGTCCCTTCAGTCCTTCTGTTAATTATTCTTTTACTAATTACTTTTTTTCCCAGTGTGTTTGACCGAAAGGACTCCCCAGACTCCATTTTCCCAGACTGGGGAAGGGAAAGAGAAGGAACTTGCAAACGCTTAACAGAAAAACGTGAGATGGGGAAGGGGGCGCCCTAGGCTGGTTAGAGGGGAATTAATGGCCTTTAAAGAAGGCGAAGGGGCAGTTAGCCGGAGGCAGTGGTATGTGGAGATTGCTTAACCCAGTACAGCTTCTGATTATGTGAGATGGAAAAAAAGAATGCCTGCTCTGCCCCTCACTCCACCTCTCTAGCCCGCTTACCTGTCTCCATCCTTTTCCTTACACACACACACACGCACACATTCTTGCACCCTGCCCCCGCGCATGCACTCCTCTCCCCCGAACCCTTTCACCCCTTGCACACATCCCTTACCCCCACCGCAGCCTCGCACCCTTGCCCTCCTTCACTGCTTTCCCCAGCCCGTTCCCTGGGCCACCCCCGCCCGGCCCCTCCGTCCGCCCGGTCCGCTCGCCCCCCGCCCCCGGGGCCACCTGCTCGCGTGGGGCGGGGCGGGGATGCGCAGCCGCGGCCCCCTCCCTCCCTTCCTCCCCTTCCCCGCCCCGCCCCTCCCTCTTTCCCTCGCCGGCTCCGGGGCTCTCTCCCCGCCCGCCGCCAGCCCGCCGCTCCGGGGGGTGGGGGTGGGGGGGGTCTCTGTCGCCGCCGCCGCTGCCGCCGCCGCCGCCGCCCCCGGAAGGAGCCGCCATTTGCCACGGCCAAGCGGACAGGTCGAGCCGGAGCCGGAGCCAGAGCCCGAGCGGGGCCGGGGCCCGGCGGCCCGCGATGGGGGGCGGCCCCGCCGCAGGAGGACCCGGGCCCGTGACCCCGGGGACCCGGGCCGCTCCAGCCCCGGCCCCGCTGGGCGCCGCGCCCTAGAGGACCCTGGCCATGGCCCCCGGGCCGCCAGCCCTGGGGCAGGGCAGGAGGCAGCGCTGAGCCGAGCTCGCAGGCCCAGACGCCCCCTCCTCGGCCTCTGCCCCTCCCCCGGCCGGACCCCCCGACGCCGCCCTCCCCGCGCCCCCCCTGAGCGGCGGTCCCCCTCCCCCCCGCGGCTCCCCGCGCCCGGACGATGCTTAAGTCCCGGCTCCGCATGTTCCTGAACGAGCTGAAGCTGCTGGTGCTCACGGGCGGGGGGCGGCCCCGGCCCGAGCCTCAGCCCCGAGGGGGCGGGGGAGCCGGCTGCGGCTGGGGGCCCTTCGCCGGCTGCTCGGCCCGGGACAGCGACGGCGACGACGAGGAGTACTACGGGTCGGAGCCGCGGGCCCGGGGACCGGGGGACAAGGAAGCTCGGGCTGGACCCCCGCCGCCCCCTCCTCCTCCTCCACCTCCTGCCCCTGGCGGCCTGGACTCCCTGTCCCTGAGCAGCAGCCTGGACAGCGGGCTCCGAACCCCCCAGTGCCGGATCTGCTTCCAGGGGCCGGAGCAGGTCAGGCCCGGGCCTGGGGGTATTGGGAGCAGGACACCAGAGAGATGTAAAGGGGGGGGGGACGACAGGGAACACTGGGTGGACCTAGCTGAGGAAACCGAGGAAGATGGGGAGGGGTAAAGGGGGTAGTGTTAGGGAGCCTGGAGAATGTGAAGGGCTGGGCAGAGAGGGGAGACCAAGGAAGGGGGCTTGAGAGAATGGTTGGGGGATGCCAGGACCAGAAACTGGTAGGGGGTACCTAGAAGAAGGCCAGACAGGAATGATGCCTAGGGGTGGGTTGAAGTTAGGGGTCCACTAGCCCAGAAAAGGATGAGAGGTCGTGTGCCTGGGAAGCTGGCTTGGGGAGAGAGGGAGATGTCAGGGCAAAGCAGCCGACTGTCCCCTGTCCCCACCTCCCCACACTTTACTATCTCTATAGGCTGTGGGAGGGGCCATCCTTCATGGAGGCAGAGGAAAGGGTTGGTCTTTGAAAAGCAAGCCTTGCTTGTAGGTGTTGGAGCTTCTATGCTCCCTTTATTCCTCAGCATCTTTAACCTTTGGAGAGATTCTTTCTCTCTTTCAATTCAGCAACTTCCATTCTTCACACAAAGATTATTCTTTGTTTAAATTGTTCTGGAGGGAGTTCCCCATTGGGGGGGGGGATTGTTATCCCTAAGTGCTCAGAGGGAATTTCCCTTCCTTGATTGAGGGCAGACCTAGTCTGGCATGAAGGATTTCTTTTGGGATCCCATGGAGATACAGTAATAGAATTCTCTGAATTACTGCAAGATCTGTAAAGTGTTTTAAGATTATATTGGTGGGAGATAGAGGGGTGGTGACTGATGCTTACTTAAAGTCACTGTAGCTCCCCTCTACCCCCAGACCCTGTCCATCTCCTTGGTTTATACAAACTACATTCTGTAGGGCTCCAAGAAAAGAGATGTTCTAGGTCCCCTTGCTCTCCCACTGGTTTCTCTGATCTTGGAACAGTCTCTTTTTCAATCTAAGGATTTTCCTCCCCACTCTAGTATGAGCTCTTCATTCAGTCCCAGATGAATGGTTTCCATTGAGGGTCTCGAATTTGGATCTGAGATGGATCTCTAATGTTGAGGGTTTCTCTACCATGGGAGGGGGTGAAACCTCTCTTCAGTTGAGGTAATGGGTGATTGGGTCCTGCCTCCTCTCCCTACCTTCAGGGGGAGCTCTTGAGCCCATGTCGGTGTGATGGTTCAGTTAGATGCACCCACCAGCCTTGCCTCATCCGATGGATCAGTGAGCGGGGATCTTGGAGCTGTGAACTCTGCTATTTCAAGTACCAGGTCTTGGCAATAAGTACCAAGAACCCACTGCAGGTGAGAAGTACAGGGGGAAATGCCTTAGGCTAATGGTAGAGGTAGGGGCTGTGGGACCCCTCCCCCCAAAGCCAGTCCTGGCTACACTTTCCCCAGTGTTACTCCACAACAGGTACCCTGTCATCCTGATTCTTTCTCAGTCACTGAGGCCCTCCCTATCATGGTCACCTCTTGTTGTCATGACCCTGTCAGCAAGACCTAGTGTCCCCATGCGTCTCTCTGAGAACACCTTCCTTTTTCTAGTGGCAGGCCATCTCACTGACAGTCATTGAGAAGGTCCAGATCGCAGCCATTGTCCTGGGCTCCCTCTTCCTTGTTGCCAGCATCTCCTGGCTCATCTGGTCTTCACTCAGTCCATCAGCTAAGTGGCAGAGGCAGGACCTGCTCTTCCAGATCTGCTATGGCATGTATGGCTTTATGGACGTCGTCTGCATTGGTGAGAGACCATCTAGTCCCATCTACCTAAAGTCCCTAAGGTTCCTTTAAATTCATATGTAGGGGAGCAGTGATTTTAGGAACTATATTTTATCTAAACTACCTGTCTGTTTATGCCTAAACTATGTATACTCTGCACACATGCTTAATAGCTGTAGGTGCTTAATAATAAGTAATAATAAATAGACATGGAATTAATTAATTATCCCCTGTCCCCCAGCTTAAGGAAAATTTGAAAGAAAAATCATAGGATTGTAGAGCAGGAGCTGAACGGGACCTTCTAGGTTATCTAATATAATCCTCCTCATTTTATTGATGAGGAAACTCAGACTCAGAGACACTAGAAGACTTGCCTGTAGTCTAATCCTAACTCTCCTGCCTCAGTTTCCTCATCTGTAAAATTATAATTATAATTAAATTATAGAACATAACATATATAAATTAAAATTATTATAATAGCACGTACCACCCAGGGGTATTATGAGAATACAGTAAGATATATCGTATTTGTAATGTGCTTTGCAATCATCAAGGTATTATATACATATTATTATTGTTGTTGTTACACTTAGTAGTTTCAGAGTGAAGATTTGAACCCAGGTCATTTGATTTTAAATATGGCACTCCTTTAACTGGGCTATAATTAGAGACCCCCTTGATTTCCCTAAGACTTGGTTGGGTTTTTTTTAATTGCTCTACCCTAGTGCCTCTATTAATTCTTACTATTTCAGTCTGGGAAAAAATCAGGTTTGGATTTCCCCTTGGCCCTGAGTTCATGAAAAGTTGACCCAACCTCTGACCCCCTTCCTGACCAGGTCTCATTGTCCATGAGGGCTCTTCTGTCTACCGCATCTTCAAACGCTGGCAGGCAGTGAACCAACAGTGGAAGGTCCTGAACTATGACAAGACCAAGGACCTAGGAGGGGATGCAGGAGGGGGGGATGGCAGGGAAGCCAGGACCCAGGACCTCACGGACAGGTTCCCCACCTGGGGCCACTGGCCGCCCTCCAGCTGCCCAGCGTGTCCGGACGCTCTTGCCCCAGCACTGTGGCTACACAATTCTGCACCTGCTCGGACAGCTCCGGCCACCAGATGCCCGTTCCAGCTCCCGCTCTGGCCGAGAGGTTGTCATGAGGGTCACTACTGTCTGAGCTACACTCTCAGGAAAGGAGGACCCTAAAGTCAGTGTACTGGCTGGAGATGTGGTCCAGCCCTTGCTGAGCATCTTCCTTGAACCAGTGGAGATTCCACCTAGACAAGGTGTTGCTCCTGCACCTGACTGCCCCAACACATCAAGGGATCTCTGATGTTGACATGACCACTGGAGATAATATTTGGTCCCCACTGATCACTCATCTTTCCCTGGGGCAAAGATTCCACCTAGAAGAAATTTCAATCTTCATTGATGGCCACTTATCCTGCTGGGAAGTGGGGAGAACATCTTTTCCCCTGGAGAGAGTGGAGAGAATCATCTTTACCTCAGCTCACATGGCCTCTGGCTCCTCACTCCACAGGGATGATTTGGTGAAGGGGGCCAATGCCAGGAGGAAGGGGCTACCAACTCACCCACCCCTCCTACTCTATGGCCACAGGGCATCTGGCAATAAGACTAGTGTATACCCACCTCCTGCTCCCTGCATGAGGGCAGGGGGGTCTACCCCTGCCTACCCCCCTCTTGTTTGAGGGGAGGGCATAAAGAGTCATTTATATGCAAATGGAGGCTTGTTTCTTGTCCAAGGATTGTGGGAAGATTTGAGATTTGGGGAGAGGTTTTATCTACACAGGTTGCAAATCCTAAAGCACTTAGTAAGTTAACTCTTTTTCTCCCTATCAATCCATAATGATTTATTCCAAGTGGTTTAGCAAACACTTGCTGGTGAATAATTCACTTTAATTGTATAGTTGGCAAAGCTCAGAATTGTCTGGTGGGGAAAAAAATCATACACCCAGAAATTAGAAGGCCTATGTTCTACTCCTCTGTGCCTCAGTTTCTCTATCTACCTCACAGGATTGGTATGACAAAAATGAGACGTAGGTAAATTCCCATTGCAAAGAAAATTTCTCCATGACCAAATGTTTTCCAAGACCTGGGCTTTTATTTCTGGTTGCATTCTATACACCAAATCACTGAATGTCAAAATAATTTGGCCTTTGGATGGTACCTTGGAGCTTTTTGTGATGGGACATGTGATAGATGTGGAAATGCATTAGAAACATGTGGTATAAATGTGGGAAATTGTCATTTTCTAAGGTGAGAACCCATAAGAATAAGGTGGGGATGAAGTTTAGGGATAAGTTTGATTAGATATCCTATCACTTCTTCCATCTGGGAGGTGGGTGAAGGCAGAAATTCTATTGTAGACATTTTGAGTCAAAAGACTCCCTTTCAGGCCTGTATTTTCAATGATTAATGGTATAAAGTGAATCCTTATTCACTTGGACCAGTACTGGCCTCCATGAATATAGCCTCTGGGCCCTCAGCTTCCTCTGATTTATGTTGCCTTTCCAATAATTACATCTCAGTACAGACCTGGGTTTACTCAGGCAGTTTGTGTTAACCAGCAGGATTAGGGTTTTATCTCATTCTTTTCCGATAAATTTTATCAAATGTATATCAAACTGTACCCCCCCCCAAGGGGTCTAGATGTGAATTATTGACCATTTGTGAGAGGATATTGTCTACAGACAGTGCTTGAGTAGTATCAAGTAGCAGCTATTGGACTTAACCTGAATATGGGTCAACACCAGGCCTGTTCACTTACTCAGGAGGCCCTGGGACTATGTGCCCTCTGGTTTATGCTGTCATGTTAAGTGAATTATTCATCAGCAATGAGAATATTCAGGTAACATAATGGACTCTAGAGTTTAAAGGGTTGAAATAATTCCTTTCCTATTATCATTAGTCTTTCCTGTAGGGAAGGTCTGATCATCCTCTAAGGGGTTGTTTTGGGGAAATGCTTCTTCATTGACTACAATGACTTCCCCTCACCTCTTCGTGGTCAGCTGAGAAGCTTGAAAGAGCCCCTTCCCCTCCCAGATGCAATCTAGGTGCTGTCCGTGGTGCTGTCCAATAGACTAACTAGAGAGTGGGAGTGGAATAGTGATGTAGGGAGCTGAGTAGAAGGAAAATGTTTTCCTTTTATTCTAAGTCATCTAGAGGTGCGGACATACTGCCCTCCTGCCCACACTACTTATTTTTCCAGTCACTATCAAATTCTGTCCTCCCTTATACCCTAACTTTCTTTGCCCTATTCCTGAAGTCAGGCCACAGTGGGTAAGGGACTAAGGTAAAGCTCGCTTCCTAATGGGCAATTCTACCTCCTGAAGAGAGGGTACTTGCACTCCCTCATCTGTTACTTTACCATCCACAAGGCAGCTCTTTTTCCAGAAAGTGACCACTAGCACATACACATTCGCTGACATGCTTAGACAAAGACATACAGGTTTGGGGATGTATTTGCCAACTCCTTTCCACCTCCAGGCCCTCTCCCATTGAGTAATGGCCTCACATTGAGGCTCAAACACATACAAGTACTTACATACATATTGCCCTTCAGGGCCTGAGTCTGGGCCAAGTGAATCAGTGCCTTTCCCCTTCCTCCTGTTTCTGAGACAAGGCCTCAGTAGGGTGGCTGAGGGTGAGACTAGGGCATGGGGGAGTGGAAGAACAGAACAGTTCCCTTTTCCAACTTATGGGGTCCTTGTGTACACTAGGATATTTATGAAATTATTGCTCCTCTTGGAAGGGTCATTGAATACAATTTTGGGTAGTCCTCAACAGACTGATGGGCAGGTGTGTTAATGATAAATACCCATCTCTTCAGACCTAGACTTGGGGATGAGAAACTGGGTTTAGGTTGCCTTGAACCTGGGGAGAAAAGAAAAAAAAAACAAAACCCTGAACCTAGAGTCACAAATGGTCTGCAGTCTGGTTAAGGTCCTGATATACACAGGCTTTTGAATCTAGAATATTGACGGGAAGGATGGAGAAGAACAATGGTGTTTAATATACACACATCTTTGTTCTTCCACAATGGTACAAAGAGCTTATAAGTCCTGGATTTTTATAAACTTTGTATGCATATTCTCTCTCAGAAGCCTGGGATAAGAAAGATCCCCCTGTCTCCCACTGAGCTATGGTTAGTAGGAGAAAGGGAGAAGAGGAAGTATGAAGTGAAACTTGATCCACTCTGATTTGCGGTGGTGGTGGTGCTGGGTTGGTTACCTGAGCTACTTTAGGGGGGGCGGGGTGGAACCAGGTAGAGATTACTGACAGATTTATTGCAGAAGAAAGATGAGTTAATCCATATTTAAATCACAAGGGGTAGAATTGTGCCCAGAATCTGAAGGGCTGGGGGGCATGCTGAGTCAAATATTAGAAATTCCTTTTGCCTAATCAGCCTTTACCCTTCCTGTATCAGTGCCTGAGGGTTTCTGCTTGGCCCTATACTCAGTATACATCATCTCTGTGTGGAAAATATGAATGTACCTGCCTTTTCTTTTTGTTATTCCTTCCATAATTCTCAATTTCCATCTATGCTTTGATCTGTGTCAGCCCTGTGAAGGAGATTATCTCAAAATAATCATCTCAGAGAACTGGAGAGTTACTCTGTAAAATACCTTTGGTTTTGACCATCCTGTTTCCAAAGGTCCCCTCTTTGGAAACCACCTAACACCCTCTGCTCATCTCTGTGGTGTCCTAACACTTTTACTCAAACCTGCAACTCTGTTCCTCTTTGATTTGTCTAACCCATTGGTTAGAAGCCTGATTCTCCAGGCCCTCCTGCTCTTTTATTTTTTTTTTATAGGAAGCCAGGCTTGGCTGTTTCCCATAGCAGACAGTAATATGCCTGGGTCAGTGATGCAACAAACTCTTCCAGGAGCTCAGACCACCCAGTGATCATTAGGTCACTTCCAGTGCCAGGGAAACCAATGCAGGTGGGAAGATCCAGATTTACCACCCCAAAGCTGGAAGAGTGAAGAGCAAGACAGAGAAACTCAGAAAGGGTAGCAGGAGAATATTATTATTTTTTTAGTTACAAAAGTATGAAGAATCACAATACAAAAAAGGCTGTGTAAGGGAGTATGGGCAGGATTTGGGTTGGCATTGATGTAAGATAGAAATCTTGGGCTGGGGGTTGGCCTAAGGCTCCAGGCTTAACTGGCCAAGGACAAGTGCCTACATGACCAGTGCTCAGAGGGCTTCAGAGAGGATGGATGGAAAGGGGTAGAGTCATACAGGTTAGCCCTTCTTCCATGTGGTTTAAGGCTGATATTAACAAGTTCCCTTGTGGCCTACGATATTCCACCCTTCTCACTGGTCTGGACCAAATGCATAGTGCATGTTCAACAGATGAACTTTCCTGTCCTTTGTCCAGGTGTGTCTCAAGGTCTTTGATTTGGTCATTCTTCAGTTCAGTTCAAAAGGACCTTGGCCTCCCCATGGAGAGGATGGAAGAAAGGTTTTCCAGGCATTTTGAAGACTTGTGTCTATTTAATCCCCTTCCATCAACAAATAGGGGAGAAGGAAAACTGAGATAAATCACACCATTATCGGTCAACAAACTTCAGGTTGATGCTTCTCTCAGGCACCAGGACTGTCCTGGTCATTGGCCTTATGATCCCAGCACCTGGTTCTGGTCTAACTTCAAAGTGGGTCAGGATCTAGAACGGCAGGGAGGAAGCAGTCACTGTAGGTGGTGGTCAGTACTTGTGGGCACAGCCACCATTAGGAGAGAGAATATCAAGGGTGCCATGGGCACTGAGGTGACAAATTTTGGGAGTGATCAGTATCAAAGAATAGATGATATTGAGGGGATTGGTAACAAAGGGGTCACTTCTAGGGAACAGTCAGAACCAGACAGGATTATTTTGCTAATTATTTTGTTAATGGTGGGGAAAGGAGTACTGGAGATCTCTGGAGGGATCTTTTATGGAGTGATCTTCACATTCTAAGGGGTGGAGTCTAAAAGGACTGAAGTGGGTTATCTGACCCTCTAAGCCTTGGGCACAGAAAGCTGTTAGGTTCAGTAGGGAGGGATCTTTCTCAAGAACACTCACCTGGGCCAGAGCCAGGTTTAGCTCAAGCTCTGCTAGGCGCTTTCCTATACAGCTGCGTTTACCAAAGCCAAAGGGGAGGGAGGCAAAAGGATGAGGAGCTGGCTGTCCCCCCAGCCATCTTATTGGGTGGAAGGCATTTGGTTCTGGGAACTGGCCGGGGTCTCGAGATGTGGCATAGTGACACAGAGTAACCAGAGTCTGGTGAGAAAAGAAGAAAAACCAGTCAATGAAGGGACAGAAGTAAGAGGGTTGGGCCAGATGTGTCAGTCATTGGGAATGAAAGGTTCAGGAGAGTTCTGGCTACAGAAAGCATTCTCTAGGGATTCCCTTAGAGATATTTTGACCGTCCTCTGACCTCCAAATCAACTCAACAAATGTTTAATCATTACCTACTCAGTGGAAGGCACTGTTATTTTGGGGAGGACTCTACAGAGTTTAGAATTCGGAGCAGGGACCTCAATAAAGATCTGACAATGCTGGGCTCAGCTAGGGCTGGTGGGAAGGGGGGAAGTGGGATGGGGAATAGACTCAAGAGGATCTCACTGCTCCTACTCACATTTTGGGGGATGACATAACCACCTACACAGATGTCTTTGTTTGGAACACGGGAATTCCCAGGTATCACCGGGTATAGCCTTAGATGCATAGAGTTGAAGAGAGAACAAAGTGAGGTTGAGGGCTGGCAGCCTCTCTCCTATCTTCCCCCCTTCCCTTCTTGCCCTATATGTGCTTCAAGGACACTTCTTTGGTCTTCCAAGCAAACTGCCTCTGGGTATATTCCAGTCTCCCACCATTCTGTCACTTCTATTAATAGGATGATTGATTTCCTACTGCCCTTCCATTTCCCCATATTCTTATTCTTTTATGAGTTCCCACTCAGTTCTACTGTGTCCTTAATCATCTCTCACTGCTTTACCACCTCTCACCTCAGCACCTCCTTCACTACAGCTCTCAGTAGGGGCAGCTGGGCCAAGATGGTGGCTGGGGGGTGGGTGGAAGACCCAGGAGCCATGGCACCTATGATCTCAGCATGGAGTGCAGTCTGAACTTCTGGGTGACGTGCAAGTTCATACAGAGCCCAGGAAAGTGTGTTGGAGACCTGGGAGTGACATGAACAAGATGGGTTAGAATCTACAGGCCAGAATTCACAGACATTAGCTATTCAAGGTCAGGATTTGGGTCAGGCAGTAATTTGGGAACCCTAAACTAGCAGCAGGATCTGGAGGTGGCCAGAATTCAGTGACCAAAGCTGAACCATCTATAAGGGAGGGGAGAGTTTGGAGGTATTCTTGCTGTGTAAAGGGTATATAAGGGCTCCAGAAATAAAAGAGTGACTGACATAACACTTCAAATTTTAAAAAGTACTGTTACATAAATCATTTGAGCCTCACATAACTGTGAGGTACTACAGGTATTCCTAACAGAAAGAGGATTGGGTATGAGGTCACAGAACATGGGTTCAAAGCCCAGTGCTGCCACTTACTAAGTGGGCAAGTCACTACTCTGGGCCTCAATTTCCTTATCTGTAAAATTAGGGGTTTGGACCAGATGACTTCTGAAGTCCCTTATAGCTCTAAATATAAGATTCTGTAGAGGAGAAAATAGAAAAGTTGTGCCCTTGCAGCTAGTAGGTGTCAAAGTGTCAATGGCCTTACTGTGTCTACTCCAGCCAGCAGTAACTCAGCAATGCTGCCAAGGATAGATGCAGATGGCAGCTCTTTCTGGAACAGGAAGTGGGTCAAGTGAGGTCCAGATACACTGGTATTTTTAAGCTCCCCTATGGGCCTTGTAGCTGCCTCGGCCTCCCTCTGCTCTATGTGCTTCTGGGCTGGATGGAAAAGAAGGTGATGACCCCCTAGAGCCTCCTTGTGGGCCCTTTCTTCAGTTCCCACCACTCCTGGTTATGAATACTCCATCCTGGCACCTCACCAAAGGCAAACATCTGGTCCCAGTCCCGACACAGGCGGTCCCAGGGTCCAGGCAAGAGCCGGTTCAGCCAGTTTGGCATTGCCATGGTCAGCAGTGTGGACACAAACACTGAGCCCACTGCACGAATGAAACTCTCCGTTTCTGGGGGTACTTCAGGGTCCAGACATCCTAGCCGGGAGCCCAGGAGTACGGCCCCAATGCCTGCGGGAAGAAGATGTTACAACTTAGCGAGAATCTCCACGAACCCTGGAGACTCCACAAACTCTTCTCTCAAGCAGGCGCACCCACCCCTGTTGCCTCTGCAGCCTGGAGAGAGTGAGCGAATGTCTCATCTGCCCAGAATGTCGTTCCTCCTTTACTCCTCCCAAGATCAATCACTAAACACTACAGGAGACATTCGATTCCCAAACCCTAAGTCCCTACCTTCCAGGCCGAACTTGTAGAATTCTCCAGCCACATCTCGGACGAGGTCTGATGATCCTCCTAGACTGCCCCTCTGTCTCCGTAACCGGCGCACCAGGTCGCAAACAACACTGTCCAGGGCCTCCGCGTAGTCAGCGGAGGCTCGGGGCCGGAGTAGAAGCGGGGCCAGGAGGCTGCGGAGCCTCTGCCATTCTTCTCCTTCCCTGAGGAGGTTCGGAAAGGGTGGTGTAAGGAAAGGTGGAGAAGGCGTACATAGGGGTATGAGTTACCCAACGGCAGAGAAGGAACTAGAGTATTACACAGTCTGATGGGGAGAGGTGAGGCAGGGGGTTATCTCCTTCACTCTTTTGCGCCCTTAGGGTGCAAAGATATTCTCTCCCAGGCTCTTTCCCTCTTTCCTCGTCTAGTCCCTAGTTACTCATTTCCTGCCTCCCAGCGACCCCATTTCCCCGAGCTCCCTGAGTCAGAACGTCTCCAGTCGGTTCAGTCCCTCCTCTCCACTCCTCTCGCAAGCCCCTTAAGGCAGAATCAGATACTGGGGAGGAGAGCGCATCCTCACTTCCAGCCTCAGCCTAGCGCAGTGAAAGAACATAAAGCAAGGTCCAAGTGGAACTGACGCCAGGGAATTAGAAGGTTGAAGAGTCAGGGGAGTTCCTGGAGTTCAGTTGAGTGGGTTGGGGGGTGGAGAAGAGGGTAAGAAGGCAGAAATATGGAAGTGTAAAGAACAGGATAGGCTAGCAATGGAGAAAGATTGCAGAATCGGACACTTGGAAATCCTTTGGAAGTAGGGAGGTTTGAGGTGAGGCTAGCTAGCCAAAGGTGAAGAGATGGAGAGCAGCTCTGGATGAGGGTGCCACAGATCGTTAAGGAGTTGACGGGGGAGACTTACGCTGTGAGCAGTCCATAGGCCCTTTGGCAGCGTCGCCGGTGCTCCACCCAAGGGGAGAAGCTGCAGCGCTCGGGATAGGGACCCTCCTGTCGAAGCAGCTGTTCGATCAGGGTAGGAGCTGCCAAATACACCGTCTGCACTGGCCCGAAGCTGGCAAACCACACAGGTCCGAAGCGGGCAGAATCTTGCACCTGGCGCAAGGTAAAACCCTTGAGATCCCGCACCCCCTTGCTCTGAAATCCTGGCTGCCATGGTAAAGAGTTGAGGGAGTCTGTATCATCTGAGACCCTTACATCCCCTTCTCCATCCGCCACCTAACTTTTTTCAAGAGCTACAAACTCCCGTCCCATTTCCCAGCCCCTGGAAATGCAAGAGCAAAGGGGCCGGGAGCGGGCGTTAACATTCATTCCAAGCTGTTTCTTTCAATCTAAGACTAGTTCAACAATTTTTATTCTAGTTTTGGGTCCACTCGGGTGGCGGCTGGGACTGAGGACACCTCTAGAATATTTACAATGCAGCTAGAGCCTCCTCGCAGACTCTAAATTTAGTGCCAGCCACCACAATGCTCTTAAACGCACTCGTCGTCAGTTCAGGAGGTCTCCCATTTTCTAGACTTGGGAACCTGCATCCAGTTGATGGTCAGTATGTTGCGCACATATATATATATATATATACATATATATATGTATATACATATATATATATATATATATATACATTATATACATATGAGTACACGCGCGCGCGCGCACACACACATACACACACACACAGAGACTCTCTCTCCGAAATTGGGTGCTGATTTTGGAAATCCTGTACCTGGTTAACTTTGCTGATTCAGGCCTTTATCTCTAAGTTAGCTTTGATTTTTCCCCATCCATCTGCCTCCGCAATTTAATCCCAAATACCCTTTCTTTCAGCCACCTGCACCTGCCCGGACAGAGGTGGGGGTACCTCATACCTGCAGCTCATGTAGACGCGACAGCCCCCCTTTGCAGAAAAGTTCTGCTAGGAAGCTGAGGGTAGAAGGGCCAGGAAGGTCTGTCAGGATCGATGGGGTTCTCTTCCTACCCTTCAAACCCAGCTTTATACCCAGTTCCGGAATCAAGCGCGTAAGCTGGGACACCTTTGTTGCCAGCTTAAGAGTCTGGGGCATGGCGAGATGCAGCAAATACCGGGGCGTGTATGCTTCTTCAGAGCATCTCAACTAAACTCTCCGGCCCCTACTTAAATCTACGGAGGAAGAAGAGCCACCCCCTCCAGCGCACTCCAGCCAATCCCTTCTCTCTTTAGCTGTCTAGGTTCCATATTTGCATAGTAAATACCTTAAGCAGGGAGAGAATTCAACTGATGTATCCCAGAAACCGTCCTACTCATTCCTGGGTCGCCCCCCCCCTCAGTTTCTTCTTCAGGTCTGGCACCACCCCAAGCTCTCCAACTAAAAATAAATCACCGTAGGGGAGCTGCTGCATCCAAGCCAGCCTCTTACATTCCCACCCTTCTCAGGAGCCAAGCCACCTCCTCCTTCCCCTCCCTAAGGAATTCCCCCTTTTCCAACTAGTCCAGGGAAAAAACACACACCCTCTGCCCTCATTTTCTTTGCTCCTGCACGGTACATTCTTGCCACAGAAGTACTTGGTTCCTTTCTCTTATAGGACAACAGTGGGTGAACGGCAGCTCAGTATGTGCTGAGAGGAAAGGAGAGAGGTGGGGTCAGTCCAGGCAATATCTTAACAGATCTGGGACCAGACTGGTGCGCTTTGGAGTGATGGTGGTCAACCTCAACAAGTTCATATGGCCCAGGTGGTTTGGGGTCAGTCAGTCACCTCTAGAGGATCACCATATGCTCAGCTGCCCAACAGGGACTTTTCATAGCAGAATCCCACTCTTTACTGACCACCCCTACAAAGACAGAGAGATACGGCAAGTTCTTTGGCTCATCAGCCACTAATTTCAACACCTGTGGTCACTATATAATCAAAGGTCAACACAGAGGGACAATAATCTCTGTTTCAAAATGCCTTCCCCTTATACTTTCCAAAGGTGGTCACCAAGGTAGTCTGAGACCATTGGACAGCCAGAAGTCCAGAGATAGTGTGAGTTGGTGAAGGAGAGAAACCTGGTGTTCGCCTTCTACATGGACAGCAGCATTAGCAGGTTTAGACAGACAGACACACAGAGTCCTCAGCACAGCAAAATAAACACAAACAAGTACAGTGATCTGAGCCCAGCAAGAAGTTTAGCTGGTAGTGCAATGTGTTTTCTTATTCCAGCTATACAGAGCACATCCCAGCTGACAGGGGTTCTAAAGAATCAGTCCCCTTTAACTTAGGAACACTTTCTAACTTGTCTTAGGCTTGAGGTGTGCATTTTCTATCTGCTTCCTGGTGAAAAATGGCCTGAAGAACAATCAAGGAGTCAAGGAAGCTGCTCAGAACATCTCGGTCTCTTCCCTCCTCACTTTAGCTCCCAGGCCTGGAGCAGAAACAGTGCAGCACAGAGATGCCCACTCCCACCCAGAAGGCAGAAGAGCCTCTATCATTCTTCCCAGACACAGGGAGAATAGATCTAGATACAGCAGGGCCAGAGATCAGTGTCCAGCCAGAGTGGAGCAGGGGCTAGCTGCTAGGCAACAGAGTCCTGAATTCTCCGGAAGATGGCCGGGAAGTTCTTCCCCCCATTTCGAAGAACCTTCTTCCCTTCTTCAGTTGAAGTTCCAAGACGTCCCACAATAGGGTCATCAACCTAAGGGAGTGAAAACTCCAGGTGAATCTTCCCCTACTCCCAGGTTTCTGCCTTCCCACAAACCTTCATCCCATACTCCCAGTACTGTGCTGGGCTCAAGAGACCATCCCACTCTAAAGGGATCTTATTCCCTTTGTTGTCCCCAGCACTATCTGCCTCCCAACTCACCAGTTCCTCTAGGGGTACTCGCTCAAACAAGGGATGCTCTTCAAAGTGGGTACAGATCCAGCTGTGTAGTTCCATCACATCAGTGATGGTATATACCAGCCCCTGCAGAGACCCCATCCCACTGGTCAGTGTGACTGGATAAAATTGGGTCTTCACCACCTCATGAACAGCTGGTAGGAAGCCTAAATAAGGTAATAATGAGACTATGGAAGGAAATCCCACCCCTCTGCCCCAATTTCCAACTTCTAGCAGAGATAAACTGAAAGTGAGGTCCCCAACACAATCTCTCATCCTTTCCTCCCAAACCACACTGACCCCAATTCTCAGGACGTAGGCATATTCCGCCAGCAGTGTAGGGCTGATGATTCGCCACTTGTGTTTGGTCCGTTTGAAGTGTGGGTCAGGAAAGAGGAAGAACATCTTTGTCAACTGTGAGGAAGACAGGATGGTGAGACACCAGCTTTCACCACGAAGTCTGGGAAAACCCAGGGTCTCCAGTGCCCCATCTCACCTGCCCTTTGTGGAAAAAGTTGGGTAAATGCTTCATGGCATTGCTACGAAGACAGGCGATGTTCTGGAAGCCACCCCCAGAAGTAGATCGAAGGGCTCGGATCCTATCCTGAACATAATCTGAGACCTTTACCCGAATCTCGAGGCCAAGGATCAGCGTATTTGGGAACATCGGGGATAGTTCCACTGGGTGAAAATGAAAGGTGCAGAATCATCACATACTAAAGCTAAGTGGGTAGGAAAGCCCCAATCCAAGGGGGAGATTGTTACCCAGACTAGGAATAGAAAATGGGCCCAAGGGAAATGTTTTGAATGAATGGGATATTATCATTGGAGCCCCCGTGGAATAAGAAGCTACAAAGATGGACAGAGCAGGATGCAGCTGCAGGCAAATGGGGGAGATGATCAGAGATCAGGAACAGTATGGATAGTTACTGTGTGTATGTGTGTAATATCAATACTGAGAGAAAATAAAGAGGAGGGGACAGGACAATACTACTGATGGTGGGGCAAGAAGAGTCATGGAAGGAGGGAAGAATTCCTGGGAGGCTTGAGAGAGATGGTTAAGGATCACTGGACACAGTGGCTGATCTCTGACGCTCGTGTTGACCGACTCACTGACCCGATACCTGGCAGGTACGATGCCTCATGTAGGGACTGTGATCAGGGGGAGGGACCAGACAGGTCATCCCTGGCTTAGAGAGGCATCTGAGGCAGCACCTTCCCTGTTCCTGGCCAAAGGCCACAGGCTCTGAGTGGGAGGTAGACATTAATGTCATAGAGTCAACCTCTGGGTCCGAAGGGGAAAGGCCAAAACTACAGCCCCCACCAAAGTTGCTGCACAGGCAGAAGAGCCTGGGCCCTCTTAGTCTCACCTCCCTTTTCCCCCTGCCCAAGGAGACAGGGCCACTGCAAAGCGTTACCTAACAAACCACCATAGCCACAGCCTATGTCTGCAAATTCCACTTGGGCCTGAGCTCCCTCTTCTTTCTCATCCTTTGAGGCATCATGGCTCTGGTTGTGGGTCAGTGGGGCAAAGAACTTGGGGTAGAGCTCAGACCAGTCCATCTCCTCTGGCTTCACAGGGCTGTGGAGGGAGGGTGGTGTGAGTAGGGGAGTAAAAAATTGCAGAAATGGTACTGTGGGTAGGGTGAAAGGAAGTTTTCCCACAAACAGTGGGCCCTCTGGCCTCAATGAGATACAATGGAAAACACCCTTAACCCCCAGTGTGAATCACAGGCCCATTCTGAGGAAATGTACCACCCCCACTAGGGCCTGACCTGTTGACCCATCCATCCTAATTTCTAGCATTTGGTGTGACCACTGGTTAGTCTGGTTTCCTTCTTGAAGCAAAAAGTAGAAATCCTTTTTCTTTGGGAGGGGAGTGGGGTCTGATTTAGGGAGGGATCTGACACAAAAAACTGGAGTCTTAGTGTAGTTGTTATTTATCTGTGGTAAAACTGTTCTCACAGAGTTTATCAGGTGGAGGCAAAAAGATCAAAGTTCACTCTAACCTATCAAGTTCTGCCTCTATTTACTTCCTTATTCAAACCTCTACCACAAACAACTCCTCCCCCTGCAAGGCAACAAAGCTTCTACAACCTAATGGACCAATCATCCAGTAGCTTATTTACTTACCTCTGCCAATTTAAAGTCTCCTCTCTCCCATCACCAGATCCAACCACAAGTCCTCCTCCATCTCATTCCTTCAGCCTACAGGTCAAATCCTCTTTCTCTTCCATTTATTTTTAACTGAATTTGAACTCCTCCACTCTAGACTCTACCTCTAACCCATCTCTGTCCTTCCTTCCCTTCAACTGAACCATAAAATACTATACAAATAGCTGGGTTTTTTTTATTGTTGTCAGCCTTAATTTGCAAAGCGCTTTTCAACTCACAGAGATAGGAGGCATAAATATTATCACCCTCCCTTTTTTTTCTTTTGACAAAATGAGAGAAACATCCTATTCTGAAGCACTATAGTGTGTGGGGAAGTGATTCAACATTCTCAAAGGTGAAGGACAAACACTGGTGGATTTTTACCAAGCTGAAAAGGCTTTGAGTTGGGGGTCACTGACAGGCTGTGTTTGCTGGCAGAAGACCAGTTTAGCTAAGTAAGAAAGATCCATTATCAGAAGGGTGCCCACTAGGTAATGATTTTATTGACCACAGCAACTCAGGAAAAGGAAAGATTGGAGGGGCAGCTTAAATTGATATAAGAGAAAACTGACTTGTGACTCTAAGGTCACACTCATAGAATCCTGGATTTCTGAGTCTTACAACAACAACAACCCCATAATGGGTGAAGGGGAGGTCCAGCCTCAGCCCCACCCCTGCTTCTAAGGCCAAGTTCACAGCCGTCCAGCCCAAGCCCCTCCCTCGTTGCTGGTCAGGTGCACTGCACCCTGCTGTTGCTATGGGGGAAGGGGAGGTCCATCCCGGTCCCCCAATACTGCTGAGGTCAAGTTTCCTGCACTCCGCTGTTGCTACTGGGGAAGGAGAAGTCCAGCCCCGACCTCCCGTGCTGTCTAGGTCCCACTCTTCTGACACCCCAATGGCAGCGGGGCCCCAGGAGCTATGCAATCGCTCACTCCCCGCCTCCCCGTCTGTCCATCGGTCCCCCTAGATCCCTCGAGACCGCCCCGCTCGGGGGTCACCCGGGTCTGGGGCAGGTTTCTCCAGGACTAGGGAGCCAGTTTCCTGGGGAGGGCCTAACTCACTAGCGCAGCGTGTGGTCGGCCATGGGGTTAGAGTGAGCTCGCTGTCGGTAGAAGCGCTTCTGGGGCGCTGCGGCCTGGGTTCCCTCGCCGAGCTCCGCGCCCTCCATGGCTCGGGGTCCCAGGGCTTCCGCGATTCTCACGTGTAGACACCCGCCAGCCGACCCTCGGCGCGCAGTGATGAAGTAAACAGCACGTCAGGGAGGTGGGCCGCCAGACCCCGCCCCCTTAAAGGGACCGGGCCCAAATCCCGACGGCGTCTGGGATTCCGATAAAGGGAGCTTGCCAATGTGTCAGCATCCGTCTTGGAACTTTAAAATAAATAGAACTAGAGCTAGAAGGGAACTAGAACTAGGACTTTTCACGTAACCCACCTGATTTTAAAATGTTATTTTATAAGACTTTTTTTCCTGAACAAAAATGTGCTTTCATTACTTCTCGCTTCGCCCCCCATTAGAAAAAAAGGGAGATTAAAAAAAATCCTAGAAACAAGTAAAAGAAGTTTCTGCATCGACCATATAAGAAACTAAACTTTTTTTTTTCATTTTGCACATGTGGAAATTGAGACGTAAGGAGGGTAAGTCCCTTACCCAAGGTCCCACTGATGGGGATTTGAACTCAGATCCTCGGACTCCAGACTCCACTGCAAGGGCTCTTTCTCACAGTGTCTTACCAGCTTTTTAATGTCTTGTTTGCTACAGTAAAATTTAGAATTTAGGATTTTTTTAAGCGGCTAGAAATGACTTTAGGCCAGGGTTCTTACCTTATAGTCTGTGAATTAAAAAAAAATTTGATACTTATATTTTAAAATGATTATTTCCTTTTAATCCTATGTATTTTGTGCACTTTAAAACATGATTCTGAAAAGGAAGGGGTCTATAGGCTTCACCAGACTGCCAAATTAAGAACCCTTGCGTCTAGTCCAATTCTCCCATTTTATAGTTGGGAAAACTGAGGTCCAGAAAGATTAAGTGACTTACCGGAAGTCACAGAGCCAGTAAGGTGCCAGGGTCGGGAACTGTATTAGACCCCTGAGGGTTCTTTCTACTGTCACAACCACAACTCTACTGTCTGGGGAAGACTAGGACACCTCCCCCGCCCTGCCACGTAGTATAGCATTAACCATTCCCGGGTCTCAGGTGTCTGGGCCAGTCGCAGATGGTAGTCTAGAGTTCGAGGAAGTAGGGTAGGAGGAGCTTGGGCTGGTGGCCAGACCTCTTCTACTTCGTTCCGCCTCCCGAGAGTACAGCAACCTAGTGGGTTGGGAATGCCAGGGGTCTGACCTCCCCTTCCTCCTAGTGGGATACAGCAGGGTCTCACTCCTGCCTGGCCACGTGGAAGCCACCCCTTCCTCTAGATCTTGGCCGGCGTCCAGAGGAGTCCCTCTGTGGGCTCGTGCTCGACTCCCCGAGACATTCTGTCCGGGATGTCGGAGTCAGACTCCGAACTGGAGTCGGAGTCCGTGTTCCCTCAGGAGGACGGGCTCTTCGCTGATTCTTACACAGAAGAGACTCAGTTCCACTTCTGCGGTCATGTGCTGAGCATCAAACAGAGCTTCGGGGCTCGGCTTGGGGTGGCTGCGCCTGTGTGGGAAGCGGTGAGGACTGCCAGGGTGTACTGGGTGGTCAGCAGAGGGAAGGGAGAGTAGGGGACGGGAAGCAAGGGGGCTGCGGTGTTTTCATTTCTCTTCCCCATTCTGGATCTTCTAGTTCGGGCAGAGGAAACCAAATGTAGGTACATATTGGGTTTCCTCTGTAATCAGGCAACGACCTGCTTTCTCTTCCCAAAATCTGTCTTCCTCCCTCCCCCTTCCCCCCATCCCCCCCCATAGGCGCTGAGCCTATGCAGTTACTTCGAGAGGAAAAATCTCGACTTCCGAGGCAAGAAGGTGATTGAGCTGGGCGCGGGGACTGGCATCGTGGGCATTCTGGCAGCTCTGCAAGGTAGGTGAGCTGGAATCATGGATCTCACAATCTGAAAGGATCTGAGTAAATTTATCCAGCTCTATTTTGTGAGCCAGTCTATCCTGTCTTTTTTTTTTTCGTAGGGGTGACGGAGTCCAATCAGTGATTCCATCAGTTTAGGGACTTCCCATTGTGGGAGGTCCCTTCACTAATGCAGGTTGTAAGCTGGTCTTTATACTTTTAGAGAGCTATCTGAAACACTGAAAGGTTAAGTGATTTACCTATGGTTACACAGCTATTTGAGTCAGACTGACTCAAATGCCAGTCCGCCAACCTATACTAGTTATTTGAAGTCAATAAGTATTTGTTAGGTGCCGACTGTTGCCAGGCACTGTGCTAAGCTCTAGGGATACAAAGAAAGAGGGGGGAAAAAACCAAACCCCAACCTTTCTGCCTCTCTATACTGTCCTTAAAATGTTATATTATGTGACATAAGGCATGTTTTCCTGGAGACTTCCTTGTGGTTTGAAATGTCAAAAGCTTCTGAAAGAGGCTAAGTAGAATGTGGATTGAAAAAAGGTAAACGAATTCAGAATTTAAGCAATCATTTGTAATCTTGGAGAGAGAAGTTTAAATTAAGTAGCAGAGTGGGAAGCTTCATTACTGAGGATTGAGAAGTAAGTGGGAGGTGAAAAAATGGAATCCCATGATGTATTGGAGCTTGGCTGCAGAAGTGTGGAAAAAAAAGATAAGGGTTATTGGCTTGAGGGGACAGCAGGCTCAAATGAAGATTTGTTGTTCTGGTTTGGTTTTTTTTTTTCAGGATAAGGGAAACCTAGTGGGGAAGCAGTCTATATAGATAAGGAGATATTGAAGATAACAGAGAAGAAAGGATGGAGCAGGGAAGTACCTAGAGTAAACAGGAGAGAATAAGATCAATTGTAAGTAGAGGGGCTGCCCTGGCAAGGAGGGCCTCTTTTTTTTTTTTAGGCAATGGGGGTTAAGTGACTTGCCCAGGGTCATACAGCTAGTAAGTGTCAAGTGTTTGAGGCCAGATTTGAACTCAGGTCCTCCTGACTTCAGGGCAGGTACTCTATCCACTGCACCACCTAGCTGCCCCATGAAGGGCCTCTTCTTCATTAGAAACTGGTGCAAAGGAAGAGAGGATGGGAGATAATGAAGAGAGATTTTGAGGGTTTAGAGTAGGGGAGAAGAAGGAATTTATACTATACAGGTTCTGGGGTTGTTTGTTTTTTTTCAGTGTATCTAGGTTTAGGAGAACAACTTCCCTGTATAACAAAGTTACATAGTCACCAACTTTGTAATTTTATGATTTGTAAATTTGTGATTTGTAAATCACCTCTCAGCCTGCTACTCAGCTTGTCCCTATTTTTAATCTTTTCATTCCGATCTCTCCGTCTGTTTGTCTCTCTCTCTCTCATAGAACACAGCTTTATTAGTAAATTATCCAACATGTAGATAAGACTCAGACTGACTCTCTATTTGTGTTATTCCATGCATGTTTTACTTTTTCCACTTTTTTTGCCATTTTTTTCAAGGGATTAGCTTTTTCTCCAACAAGTGCATTTTGAGAATGTTATCACATGTCTTTAGGAGGGAAATTAAGGTTGTGCTTAAATTTAGTGGAATTCCCTTTTCTCTTCAGTCCTACCACATAACATCTCTCCCCTCTGTCTCAGTTGAGAATCTCATCTCAAAATTTACTGAGAGAATTAAGGCTGTTCCTTATGAACTCCCTTTTCTCCTCATTTCTACAATTCAAAAAACCTTTTGCTATCATTCCTTGTTCTCTCCTCCTTTACTCCAGTCTCCCATGAGAAGGCTTTTCTCTGATGTAGGCTTTTCTCACAATTTTCTCTCTCCTACATGTGCTGACGTCTTACCATTTTCTCTAGCAACTTGCTCCCACAAGCTTGCTTTCTCTTTATAGTCTTCAGTTTCTCCTGATACACTGATTCTTTGGCTGCTATCCACAAACATAATTCAAATCTTTCCCAAACTTAAAAAAAATCAATAGATCTTACCATCTCCTCAAGCCATTGATCTACATCTCTCCTCAAAAAATTGAATGCACTCATTGCCTCCACTTCCTCTCTTCTCCCTCACTTCTAAACCCTTTGTAAATGTGGCTTCTAATCTGTTTCCTAGCCTCAGTGCTATCCTCATTCTCTACTCCTCCTCAAGCCACATATCTAATCAAATTTTGTTGTTTCTATTGAAGGTTAACAAGCATTTATTAATCCACTACCATGTGCCAGGCACTGTGCTGGGGATACAGGGAAAGAAAACTGTAGTGCCTGTCCTCAAGGAGCTCACAGTCTAATGTGAGAGGCAACATGTAATCAATATGTACAAACAAGATATATCTAGGATAAATTGAAAATAATCTCAGCAGAATGGCAGTAGCATTAAGGAAGGAGACCTGGAAGGGCTTCTTCCAGAAGGTGAGATTTTAGCTGAGACTTGAAGGAGACTAGAAATGATAGCTGAGTGGAGGATAGAGTGGAATGGGGAGAAAGTTGAGGTAGGGAGACCAACCAGAAGGTTATTACAGTAGTTAAGGTGTGAGATGATGAAGGCCTGTACTAGAGCAGTTTCAGCATCAGAGAAGAGAAAGGGGCATTTACAAGGGATGAAGAATCGAAGGACTTGACAACTGATTGGATATGGCAAAGGGAAGGGGTCAGAGAGAGTTAGGAGTTGAGGGTGACACTTAAATTAGGGAAGATAGGAAGAGGGGAAGATTGGGGGGAGATAAAGATAATGAGTTCAATTTTGGATATATTAAATTGGAAGATTTGAGACTGGAGTACAAGAGAGAGTTTAGGGCTGGAATAAACAGATCTCAGAATTATCTGTATAGAGATGATAACTGAATTCATGGGAGCTGATGAGATTGCCAAAGGAAAAAGTATAGAGGGGAGAAGAAAAGAGGGTCCAGGACAGAGCATTGGTGGACATCCAAAGTTAGAGGGATTGTAAAGTCTGGATGAAGATCCGGCAAAGGACACTGAGGAGAAGTCAGACAGATAGGAGAACCAGGATCAAATAACATCACAAAAACTTAAAAGAAGAGAGTGATTAACAGTGTCAAAGGTTGCAGAGAGGTCATGAAGGATGAGGATTGAAAAAAGGCTATGGGATTTAGTGATTAAGAAATTATTAACTTTGTACAGAGCACTTTCAATTGAATGGTAAGGTAGGAAGCCAGCATGCTGAGAGTTAAGAGAGTGAGAAGAAAGTGGAATCATTGATTGTAGATGGCTTTCTCAAGGAGGTTAGCCATGAAAAGGAAGAGAGATCTAGGGTGATAACTAGTGGAGACAGATGATTTTTTTTGAGGATGGGGATATCTCCACAACGTCTCTTGAATCTGTCCTCTTTTCTCTATTCATGTGGCTACTCCCTAGTTCAAACCCTTGCTACCTCTTATCTGGATTGTTGCAATAACCTTCTAATTGGTTTCCTTGCTTCAAGTCTCTCCCCTCTCCAATTCATCCTCCACAAAACTGTCAAAGTTATTTTCTTCAAGCAAAGATTTGATCTTGTCATTCTCTTACTTAATAAACTGGAATGGCTCTTTCCTATTTCCTCTAAGCTCAAAGATAGTTTTGTTTTATTTGTCATTCAAAGCTATCACAATCTCCCATGCCTAAAATTAATTCCCTTCTCACCTCTGCTTCTTAGAAAAAAAGTTTTCTTCAAAACTCAGCTAAAGTCCACCTAAATGAAATCCTTCCTGATCTCCCCAGCTGCTAGTGCCTCCTCCCCCATTGCCTTGTATTTCTTTTGCAGTGATTTTGTTTATACTTATGAAAGGGAATGAATGGTTCTTGAAAACTCAATTCTTAGTCACAGAGCAGGGGCCAAAATGGAGGTCAAGTGTTCCCTTTATGAAGTTCCAGTTGTCACTCAGGTGAATCAGGTTGGATAAGATGAAGAATGATAGGCCAAGTCTCAAGGTAATCTTTAAAAGTCAGGAACTGAGCTTCTGATTGGAGGAGCAGAAGAATCCTGGAACTGAAGAAACAGAAGCTGTAAAAATCCAAGTGAAAGGAAGGAGAAGGGAATAAGCATTGACATAGTGCCTAATATGTTCCAGGTTCTGTGCTAAGCACTTTGTAGAGGCAATCAATAGAAAGGAAAGCATCAAGGGTCTTTGAGCAAAGCTTCTTGGGTTGATCAGGCATGAAATATGTCAAGATGGAAGTTTAGAAACTGTGTTGCTAAATAACTCCCCTATTAACAACTGTCTTGGAGCTTAGAAGAAATAGGAAGGAGCCATTCCAGTTTACTAAGTAAGGGAATGATAAGATCAAATCTTTGCTTTAAGAAAATAACTTTGATAGTTTTGTGGAGGATGAATTGGAGAGGGGAGAGACATGAATCATTCTTCAATATAACCCAAAGTAGGTAATCTTGTAACTTCTTTCTCCCCTTGAGCTCCTTCATGGAGTTTGAAGCTTTTTCCTTTGGGCATATAGGGAAGTTTGTTTACCTTTCTTTATTTTAAATATTTACTTTGTCTTTATAAACAGTGGTAATCACTGACATTTGCTTTTTCAGTCTACTGATTTGGAATATGGTTGGGTGGAAGCAACTGAGGAGGAAACCTACGCAGAGAAGAGATAGAGATAGATCTAACATTGAAGTGCTTTGCCAGAAGCACTGTCTCTGATTTCTGGCTGGGGGCTCAGAGCTAACAAAAAGATAAGATGAGCTTGTTCTACTTCCCAGCATGGAGAAGGAACATATATAACAGGAAATCTGTCTTTGCAGTAGGTCAGTAGTAGTGTGAGAAGTAAACAGGAGTGGCTGAACAACCCATCTCTTTAAGCGTGCTACACTCAGGATGTAAACTTCCTGAAATCAGGGAGTTTTATTTTTGTTTTTGTGTAGACCCAGTGCCTAGAATGTGGTAGGTGCTTAATGTTAGATGTTAAATGAGTGATGATACAGAAGTTTTTGAATGGTTGCTAAGTATGGAGAATATTACAGAAAATCAGTCAGGAAGAATAAAAGGATTGTGTGTGTGTGTGTGTGTGTGTGTGTGTGTGTGTATGTGTGTGCAGTAGTGAGGGCACATAGGATTTGATGACATAAGCTTGTAGGAAACCTAGTTAGTATTTTCCCATAATGTTTCACAGCAATATTCAGTAGCTGCTGAGTGTAAATGGAGAAGGATGGTAGAAGTAATCCCTTATATATTGGTTTTGGCACCATATAACCAATGAAAGGACAAGAAGACAAGGGATTCTAGATTAGATGATATATGGTTGAAGTGGTCAACCTTGGGGTTGAATCATTCAGTCATCTAGCATTTATTTACCTTGTGCTAGACAATGTGATGAAAAAGTAAGGAAACTGAAGTCAGGATGATGGATTAAGAGGATAAAGATGGAGTGAGTGGTGGTAGTGGTGGAGGAAGGACAACAAGTCATGGTGAGGACAAAGACTAGATATGAGAGGAGCGACTCAGAGGAAGGGATGGAAAGATAGGAGTCTGATTGAAAATAGGAAGTTTTGGGGGGCAACTAGGTGGTGGAGTGAATTAGAACACCAGCCTTGGAGTCAGGAGGACCTGAGTTCAAATCTGGCCTCAGATACTTACTAGCTATGTGACTCTGAGCAAGACACTTAACCCCTGATTGTCTCTAAAAAAACCAAACAAACGCAAACCAACAAAAGAAAGAAAATAGGAAGTTGGAAGTACAGAATCAGGGAGTTTTAACACATTTGTTTGGCCCTTCCTGTGGTGTATATGAAGTGGAGTGAAGAGGAAGAGTATGGGTGTTAAGGAGGTTAATGATTTGGGAGATTACCATGCTCAAAAGGACATCAACATTCATGTTGAAGTCCCCAAATATGAAGTCAAGAGTTGGGGTGAACAATCAATCAACAATCATTTATTATCTATTATGTGCCAGGTATCCTGTTAGGCATTGGACAGGAAGTATATCCTTGTATACTATTGTTAAATGCTCTTTCCCCCCCAATTGGAATATCCTCCTGACTCTTCACCCCCTTTAATAATCAATTACTTTACAGGGAACTGCCATTAACAATTTCTGTACTCCACCATTACTGTATCCTTCCTCAAACTGCTTTTTTCAACTCATTCCTTTCTAATATAGGTATCTACTCTTCTGGGCAGTTGGTGATAAGAGTGAAAGGTGTGGTGGGGAAGAGGCCATTCTCAGTCAAATACACATGTGACTTGGGCAAGTCACTTAATCTCAATTGCCTCAGGTCTCTTATCTGTAAAATGGGAATAATAATAACACCTACCTCAGAGAGTTGTTTTGAGGATCAAAAATGATATATGCAAAGTGCTTTTGCAATCTTTAAAGTGCTTTATCAGTGCTCCCATCTGCCATACATATGTTGAATTTCACAAGGTAATAAGGAGTCACTTTTCTGAAGGTGCCAAGAACTGGAATTTTTCTAGACATTTCTGAATGGTGATCCTTCAGCTGGTCCCTAGACCTCACTTTTCTTCTGTTCTCTCTCTTTCAGGGGGAGATGTCACTATCACTGATCTGCCTCTGGCCCTGGAGCAGATTCAGGGAAACGTTCAAGCTAACATACCAGTTGGTGGCCGAGCACAGGTCCGCGCTTTGTCCTGGGGACTGGACCAGGGTGTGTTTCCTGAAGACTATGACTTGGTGTTAGGGGCTGATATCGTGTATCTGGAGCCCACCTTTCCACTGCTCCTGGGCACCCTTAGACATCTCTGTGGACCAAATGGCACCATCTATCTGGCCTCCAAGATGAGGGAAGAGCACAGGACAGAGAGTTTCTTTCACGATATGTTACCACAGCATTTTCAGTTGGAGCTGGCACAGCGGGATGAGGAAGAGAACATTAACATATACAGGGCTACACACAGGGGAGGCTGAAGACTCCCCTGTGCCTCCACATCCAGTTCTTTCTCACTTCTGCCCACACACATTCTTCTGATCTGTCTTCTTCCTCTTGGTATTGGAAAGAGGTGAAGAGTATTAGCCTATAGAGAACCATGCATAATGACCAAACAGCTAATTCCTGGATCCTGGGCGAGGTGTTCCATGCTTTCATTTCCTTGCTTTCTTGGATTCTTTTCTTCCCATCCTACTAACTTTGCCATTTCTTCTAGACTAATACTGAGCATCATTTTATTGGAAGCCCCAGACACTCCTTCACAAAAGCCCGGATGGGTTGTCAATAAGAAAGCTCTCAGTCCCTGTTCTTTGAGGTTGGGGCTGAGTGGGGAAACTGACCTGAAGGATGGAATATTGTGGGTTGTCAGCAGAGTAATTGCCTCCACCTCTCTCTCTCCCACAGCAAGGAGGCACTTTCTTGCTTTTCTGTTTGTATCCCCAGCACTTAGCATGGTGCTTTGAACATAGTAACCAATCAATAAATGCTCATTCATTTATGTGCTTGCCCTGGTTTGGGGCATGTTCTCAATTCTGCTTTGTTTTTGTCTTTTTGTTGTTGTTTTGTTTTTCTTTTCTTTTTTAGGAAAGACAAGATCATGAAAAGTACCTTCTGCATCTAAGGCCCTAAAGTTTATGTTTTTAATTATTTTATTCAAAGCAGATGCAATGGATCTTTTTTGTGTGTGTGTGGTTTTGTTTGTTTTTTTTTTTTTTTGCTGAGGCAAATTGGGGTTAAGTGACTTGCCCAGGGTCACACAGCTATTCCATGTCAAGTGTCTGAGGTTAAAGTTTATGTTTTTAAGCTTTGGAAGAAAAAGAATGTCAGACTACCTGTTTTATACTCAGGAACACAGGGGAATGGAGTGCCTAAGCAGATTAAGCTTCCCATTTTAGGAGTGGGGGAGTTAGGGTACAGCAGGCCTATTGCTTTCTAAAAGAGGTTGAATGGTTTAGTGGAAAGAGTACTTGACTTGGAAAGCATTTTTTTAGGTCCTACTATGTGCCAGGCACTGTGCTAAACGATGGGGATACACAGAAAGGCAAAAAGACAGTGTTTGATCTTAAGGAGCTCAGTCTCTGGATCTGTCATGTAAAAAGGAAAGTCTAAACCTCCGTTTACTCATCTATAAAATGGGGGTGACTTTGTTCTGCCTCACTCAGGGGGGTGGGGGGGCATTGTGAGCCAAGTGTTTTAAGTGTTGCATGAATGTCAGTTATTATTCCTGAAGGTAGCCTTGGCCTACCACTGCAACTGGTCTTGATGACACAACCCATCCTCTTTCCAGCTGTGGCCAATCCTTGCTCTAAGTTCCATTCCCTTGGAACGCCCAACGAGCCGGAGAACCTCTGGCCGGCAGGTGACGCTGCCCTTAGCTATCGCTAGTTTACAGCCGGCACTATGGATTTGTCCCAGACGCCGCTCCGTAGATTCCTCGCTTCTCCCCCTCCACTTCCCCCGAGCTTCTTGTGCGCGCGTGCGCTCTGGGGTAGGCGAGTTAGTGCTGCACAGGCCGGAAAAAAGAAGTCATGGCATTCTTTCGGCCTCTGCGCCTTTGTCAGCACTTGGGGTCCCGGAGCCGTCCGGTAAGGGAATGTCGTGGCGGGGCTTGAGTCCTCCCTGGAGTCCGGGGCGGCCCAGCTCTCTTCCCCACCTCCTCCTTCGCACGTCTCCTGTGCCCCCCAGGTTGCGTCCTTCTGCTCCCCCCCTCACCTCCAGCCTCCCTCCCGCCCCCCCCGGCTGCTAGCCTCCCTGCCCCCTCCTCATCTCCAGCCTCCCTCCCCAGCCCCTTCCCCACTTTCAGCCTCCCCTCCCCCCACCTCGGCTGCTTTCCCCCGCCCCCTCCTCGTCACCTTCCCGTCCCCCAGGCTGCTCCCCCGCTGCTTTTCCTCGTTGCCTCCTCCCCTCCGGCCTCCCCTTCTCCCTTCTCATCTCCTTCCCACTGCCCCTTTCCTCATCTCGTGCCTGTCCCCCGCAGGTGCCCCTGGGGTCCCGCTCCTTCCACGCGGGAGTCGTGGGGCCCGAGGCTGCGTCCAGCAAGGAGCACCTGAAGAAGCTGAGGCGGAAGACAGGCTATTCCTTCACCAACTGTAAGAAAGCGCTGGACGCTTGTGGTGGCGATCTGGCCCAGGTGAGGGAGACCTGGAGCTGTTCCCTCCTCTTCGGACGGGGAAGGAAACTGAGGCCCGTGAATTGAACTTAAACTGACATCCACTTAAATGGACACTTAGATGGCGTTAAATTGATTTCTTCAAGGTCACACAGATAAGAAGAGGCCAGGCTGGATCTGAACTCAGGTCCTCTAATTCCAGAGAAGAGGTTCTTAACTTGTTTTGACCCCTGTGGCTGTCCTGTGAATTTATTGGATTGGAAGCTCCTCGAGGGCAGGGACTGTCCTTTCTCTCCTTATATACCCCCATCGCTTAGTACAGTTCCTGACTCGTAGTTTAATAAATGCTTATTGAATGAACGAAAGGTTAAGCCAGTGGACCCTTTCTCAGATGAATGTTTTTAGATGCATGAAGTAAAATACATAAGAATATGAAGGAACTTAATTGTATTTTGTCAACATTTTGAAAGTTTAAGAACTGTAGGTTAAGGATCTCTTGTACCCTAGTTTTCACCGTAATTGTGTTTAATCAGTATTTAAGCTGCTAATTTAACCAGTGGATGTGTTTTACAGCAAAAGTGTCATTGAATCATGGTTCTCATTCATTCAATCAGGCAATCAGTCTACATTATTAAGTACCTACTGTGTTTTGGTCACTGTGCTGGCATTCACATCAGGGAAACAACCACAATAAAAACAGCAAGAGCTAACATGTGTATAGCACTCTGAAGTATGCAAAGGGTTTTATACACATTACCTCATTTGAACCTTACAGCAATTCCTGAGAGGTAGGACCTATATTTTACAAAGGAGGAAACTGAAGTTGTGACTTACCTGGTTTACACAGTAAGGATTAAGGGCAGGATTTAAATGGATCTTCCTGACTTCAAATCTAACGCTCTATTCACTATAAGAAGCAAAACCTATGCTGCCTTAGCTTGGGAAGAATTGAGTTCAGGACTACTGCTAGCCCCACATTTCCTAGGAAGAGGACACCCTTGTGCCTCTCAAGTGGTAAATTCTTTTGGGATGTGGTAGGAGAAAGCTTGAGCTTGGACTCACATACTCTTAGTGTATATGTCTTGACGTGCAGCTGTAGAGGACTCACTTAACTTCCCTGATCCTGTTTTCTTATCTGTAAAATGATCATAATACATACTTTTCTTGTGTGCAGGGGGAGAAGGTGGAGTGTAGGGAAACACCTTTATTTATTTTTAGCATTCATTAAAAAAGTTCTTTTGAGCTCCAAATTCCCTCCCTTTAGCCCCTCCCCCACCTGTAGAGAAGGGCAAGCATTATATCAGTTATACATATGAAGTCATGCATAGCATATTTCTATGTTGGCCAAATACATGCTTTTCTCAAAGCAAATTTGTAAAGCAGATAGTACAGGAAGGTAATGTCAGTTGCTATTCTGAATATTTTGCCTTAGCAGTAACAGAGCTGAACTGTACTCAGCTATTTAGAAGCAAGAGGTAAATGCCTTTGTCTCAGGAACCCATTGTTACAAGACTTGTTTTTGCCTTACGCTCCGGATTAGCATTTTATTAAATAATTTGGGGTTCAGAGGAAGCAGAGAGAAATTGAAGACAGGAAAACATTTAGAGTCTTGCAGCTCCAGAATTCTGTGTCTGAAATGCTGTTTTTTTGTTTGTTTTCTCCTGTAATTTGCAGGCAGAAGCTTGGCTACATAAGCAGGCCCAGAAGGAAGGATGGAGCAAAGCTGCTAAACTTCAGGGAAGAAAAACAAAGGAAGGGCTGATTGGATTGTTACGGGAAGGGAATGCAGCGGTAATGGTGGAGGTGAGTCCCTCACATGCATCAGTTTCCAGGAATAGTTGTTAGTCCTCAAATATTTTACCATACTTGTACTAGATATTTTGAATAGAAAAAATGATAAACTCTAGAAGAGCTATTTAATATATAGTGAAACTGAGTAGGCAGTGTAATCAAAAATAATCATTAGACATGGTCTCAGTGATAGAGAGTTTTATGTAAAAATGCACAAAGGAGTGTTGAGGAGAAGCCCATCTTCTTGTTTCTGTCATTCTATTTTGTACCTCTCCCGTGCACTTTTATTCTAATTTGTGTTCGTCTCTTCGCCTCTGAGAGGCAGTATTGTGTAATAGAGAGCTAGTCTTTGGAGCCATGAGGAGGGGAATTCAGGTCGCACTTCTGACTCAGGCTGGCTTTGTGACCTTGGACGAGTCACTTGAGACAGTAAGTTGCAGAGAAGGTGTTGAGGGGGAGGGAATTTCTCACTTGGGAGTTCCCCGTGGCAGTGAATACATAGGTCTAGTCTCTATTCCTAGTCCTGATTTCCTCTGTTGCCTAGAGTGTAAGTCCTCGAGTGAAGATGCTTGATTAACTTCATCTTTATATTCCTGGTATTAAGGGTCGTTCCTTGCCCATAACTTCAGTGTTCCACACCTTCACCTTCATCATTGTCGCTGTACTTCTGATGCTAGACACAGCTTCTCTGTAACTTAGCAAATTGTGTTTGGGAAATGTTTCAGCTAAAAAATTCATCGCCCTTCAGCCAGTCTGGTCCAAATTTAGCTAGTTTGGTTCTTGGACAACAGACAAACAACAGACGTTTCTGGCCTGGACTTGAAACCTTTCCAGCTTGGTAGGACCTTGCAGAGCTTTTCTCCCACTGGCATAGCCTTCGAGATCTCAGTGTTACTTCCATGCCACATTCTGATTAGGACTTTAGTGGTTTTCATGTACTTAGCAGGTGCTGCTTAAATGTTTGAATTGCTAATTTCAAGGTAGATATGAATCTTTTTTGTCTAATCTTGAAGGGTGTCCTGAAGAGGTTAGAAATTTTGTAGATTAGCTGGTGGAGAGAGGTAATAGACATGGAAGTAGTTTAGGTGTCATTGTGGATAAAGGATCAGAAAAAGAGAAAGGAGTGGACAAATTAGCTAATGGTCTAGAACAGAGGACAGGAAATGCAATTAAGGGGAGAAGGTCCAGGTTGGTAATAAACTCACTGTCAAGGCATCACTGGCAATGTTCTGAAAAAACCTTCTCAACTGGTATATGTTGCATAACCCATCCTGGCAAGAGACACTTTTCTGGTCTTCTACTAGTGAAATTAATAATGGCAGTTTGAAAGATGCAGTTATGTCTAAAACACAACCTAGCCTTACCTTGGTTTGTACTAAATAAACCTTTCTCTATTTTATGAGTTTGCCACTAAACCATTATTTACATTATGAATATTTGCCCACAGGTGAACTGTGAGACTGATTTTGTTTCTAGAAATTTAAAATTTCAACAACTGGTCCAACAAGTGGCTCTTGGAACCATGCTGTACTGTCAGGGTCTGAGGGAACAGCTGTCCACATACAGCAAGGTGAGTTTGGGTTTAGAGTTCACCGGAGCACACAGCTCAACCCAGACTCTGCCTCTAAAATGACAAGAGAAAGGCATGACAAGATGGTCAGACTAGAAAAGACACAATTTTAACATGTTCTTATCCAGCTGACAAAACAATTATCCACACCCCTTTTTTGTCCCTCAAACTGTCTCATGAGCAGAGACACAAGGAATAAAATGTTATTTAACGGAATCTGAAACCATTTAATTTATGTAGAGAATAGTGGGATTTCATAAGACTGTGTAGCATAGGAGAAGAATATGAACCAAGAGTCGGGTATGGCCCAACCCCACCTCTCTTGGTTTCCTTTTATAAAATGATGGGATTGACCTAAATGATTTTTGAGGTCCTTTTGAACTCTGAAATTAGCTAGAATCCTCCCTAAGAGGCGGAGTTCATATTCTAAAGGACTGGCATTAGTGGTGGAATAGGATGTCTATAAAAAATGTTATAAATGTATAATATTACCAATATAGCTGAGAAAATGGTATTAGTGTAAATTTACACTTAACAAAGCTTAAGTTGCTTTATTTGGAAGAGATTAGTATTGTTCAGGTAAGCTTGGTGTTTTGCAAATTGATCTTTGCTTTCCTTTCTGTGTTTATTCAGGGTTTTCTAGAGACAGCTGAGCTCTCTCAACTGAGAGCTGGACCTAACAGAGAAGACTCTCTCAAAGACCATTGACATTATTTATTGGTGAGTACTGGCAGGAGACCCTAGACTGAGGCTGAGAAGAGAAATCAAGAAGTGGTTCCCACTAGGCAAGCTTATTTTTTAAAAATCTGACGATAGGGGCAGCTAGGCGGCACAGTGAATAAAGCACTTAGCCCTGGAATCAGGAGGACTTGAGTTCAAATCTGGCCTCAGACACTTGCCACTTACTAGCTGTGACCCTGGGCAAGTCATTTAACCCCATTGCATAGCCAAAAAAACCCAAAAAGTCTGAAGATAATTTCTCAAAGCACCAAAATCCTAGTAATAGGAGTAGGATTATAAGCTATTCAGGCTTCTACACATGTGAATCCATAGGCATTTGACTGTCTAGTTGTTTGGACATCATATTTCTTTTCAAGGAAAGACTGATCAGTTAGGGAGTTGTGGGAATGAACCTTTCTAGTGAACTTGCCCGAAGTGGATTGTTGTGGTAGTGAGGGGAATTTTGATTTAACTTGCATTCCCCTTGTGGGGAACTAGGGGTGTGGGGAGGATGGTTGTGGGATGCTGGAAACCAGCTGCTCCTCTGAAATTCCTGACAGTGAGGATGGTCTTTTTTGCCAGATCATCTCACACTGTCTGCAAACTATTAGTGACTCATAGATGAGGAACCAGGTTACAAAGAAGTGTAGGGGGTTTGTTAAGTAATTCTGGAAGAATCTGGGTGTTTTAGCCTTGTGTTTTTTCTGGGGAATTACTGTAACTACTAAGATTTCTTGAATTGTTTTCAAAATTAGTTTTCATTTCTGGACATTTTTTTGGACATCTCTTTTTTATACCCTTAAGATATAATTCTCTGGGGTATATATGTATGTTTGTGTTCCTTGAGTAAATCAGAGCTAATTATTTACATCTTTTTACTGTTTCATTCTCTCCTCCCCAGTCCGTTTGGCTCTTTTGTTTCTTCTTTAGATGGTAGTATTGATAAAAAGGGAAACTGCAGATAAATTTTGCTGCTTGTGAGCAACTCTGGGGAAAAAAAATTTTTATGGGAGAATACATATTTAAACTGTTGGGTAAAATGAAGTCTGGGATTTTTGTATATCACTTTGATATTCTGTCTATCTAAAGTGGCATATCTGTTCATATTTTTTTAAAAATTATTTATTTTTGACTTGCATTTTTGAAAATTTTGAGTTCCAAGTTCTCTCCCTCCAGCTACTCCCCTGCCCATTGAGGAGACAAGCACTCTGATACCTAACATACACGTGAAGTCATGTAAAATATATCTCCATATTAGCCATGTTGCCAAAAAAAAAAGGCAAGAAAAATAAAGTAGAAAAAAACCCACGTCATGCTGCATTCAGAGTTTATTAGTTCTCTCTCTGGAGATAGCATTTTTCATTGTTGGTCTTTTGGAATTGTCTTGGATCATTGTATTGATCAGAATAGCTAAGTCTTTCACAATTGATCATTGTTAAAATATTGCTGTTACTGTGTATAATACTCTACTGGCTTTGCTTCCTTCACATTGCAACAGTTCATATAAGTCTTGGCAGTTTTTTTGGTGGCATATCCATTCAGTTAATTTTATTAAGTTCCGGGATAGCTAGGTGGCGCAGTGGATGGAGCACCGGCCCCGGACTCAGGAGGACCTGAGTTCAAATCTGGCCTCAGACACATAACACTTACTAGCTGTGTGACCCTGGGCAAGTCACTTAACCCCATTGCCTAGCCCCCCCCCCGCCCCCCCAATTTTTTTCATTAAGTTCCTACTCGGAACAAAGCACTGACTATGCTAGAAAAGCCAAGACCGAAAGGAAATTGTTCTTGCTCTCAAGGAGCTTATGTTCTACTGGAAGACATGAAATATATACACATATAAGTGAATACAAAGCGCATGGTTATCAACTGCATGTAAAAAATTTTTAAAAATTGTACATTAATGATTTTTGTTCTTTTGCCGTAGTCATTTCAAAACTGTTCCTTCAGATCATTATCTGTTCTTTATTCATTAGTTTTTTAGTTATTCACAATTTGACATCCTTTTAGGGATTTTTTTTGTTTGTTTACTTGGTTGTACGTTTGTTCTTTTGGTTCTGCTTACTTTGCTCTGTGTCTGTTCATTGAATTTTCCCATGATTCTCTGAATTCCTTATATTTAACATTTTTAACTGCACAACATTTCCCCATTACCTTCCTATAACCTAGATTTTTCAGTCATTCACAAATGTTGTACACCCTCTTGGTTTCAAAGTCTTTGCTACTGCAGGGATCGCTGGTGTGAATATTTGGTTGTATACTCATTTATTTAACAATTATTAGACCTTTTTTGGGGGGTCTGTATCTAAGATTGTGTTCACTGTATCAATGTGTTCACTGTATCAAAGGGTAAGGACAATTTAGTTATTTTTCTTGCAGAGTTTCAGATTGATACCTAGAATGTTTAGATCACTTCATAACTACCAGCAGTGGATCAGTGTACCTGTATTAAACCCACAGGCTCCCCAACATTTTCTGTTTCCCCTCTTTTGTTATTTTTGTCAGTTTGTATAGTGTGAGGTGAAATTTTGGTTATTTTCATTTGTTTTTCTTTTACCGTTAGTGATTTGCCGCATATTTTCATATGTTTATCTATTGTTTGTAGTTCTTGTGTGAGCTGTTTCTATTTTTGCCCACTTATCTTACTAGACAAGGCAGGAGTCACCAAATTATGGTCTGCAGGCCAAATCAGCACCCACTCCCTGCCCCCCAACCCAGAGAGCCAAGAACATTTTAAAGTACAACACAAATATGTAATACAATAAAGCATTCTTTAAAAAACATAAAAACTTCCTTGGCTGGCTGGCTATACAGAAATGGGGTGGGCCAGATTTCACCTATGGGATGCTGTTTGTCAATGCCTGTATTAGGGAATTGCTCTTGTTATTATGTATTTGTGTCACTTCCCTATATATTTTGATTATGACTCTTAGGTAATATTTGTACATATATTTTCCCTATTCCATTGTTTCTCTTTTAATTCTTTCTTCATTAATTTCATTTGTTCAGAAGCTTTTAAATTTTATGTAGTAAAAATTGTCTATTGTCTTTTATGATAATCTTGTCTATCTTTTGTTTAATTAAGAATTCTTCTTCCTCTAACCGTAGTTTTGAAAGTATTTTATTTTCTCTTTGTAATTGGTGTGCCCATTACGAGTTATTTTAAGAGGAGAAGAGCAATAATCAGTGGGGAGGGGAGGTGTTGGTAGTGGCAGGAAAGTCCTTCTATCATTAGTGCTATTTGAACTGGGCTTTAAGATTTTTTTTTTTTAAATTAAGAACTCAACGAGCTTCAACATGAACATATCCACGTAAAAAGAGGAACAGGAAAACTGTATGAAACTGACTCTTAATTATATAGTTATTTTTTAAGTATCTGTTATATTTTACATGTACACTGACTCAGTTATCTTTTTCTTTCTTCCTACTGCTCTGTTCTGTGTATTTTAAAAATGTTTAATTGATAATCTCTTTTTTTGCATTACTATCACTCCTCTTCCCCCACCAACAACTTCCTTTTCTCCATAAAATCCCTCCCTTATAAGAAGTAAGTATAGACAAGCAAGAAAAATTCCCACATTGGGCATATCTGAAAATGTTAATGTCTCATTCTATACCCCTGGCCCATCACCTCTCTGCTAAGAGGTGGGAAGCTAGCATCCATAGTTTTCTGGAGTTGTTATTGGTGATTACATTAATCAGGGTTCTTAGTGATTCCAAGTTGTTTTCCTTCATGGTGTCATAATCATTGTATAAATTATTCCCCAGCTTTGTTTATTTCACGGAGCATCAGTTCTTGTAATTCTTTTTCAGATTTCTCTAAATCTGCACCTTTTGACATTTCTGATAATACATTCATATACTGCCATTTGTTCAGCCATTCCCCAATTAATGAGCTTCCACCTTGTTTCCAGCTCTTTACAACCACAAAAATGCTTTTATAAATATTTTTGTAGCTATGCGTTCTTCCTGGTCTTTGGCCTCTTTGAACTATATGTATAGTAATGATATCTCTGGGTCAGAAGTCATAGTTTAGTTCCATATTGCTTTCCAAAATGCTATGACCAATTCCAGTTCCCCCAACACTATTGTGTGCCTGTTTTATAGCTCCATTAACTTTTGTCATTGTCATTAATCTGATAGAGGTGAGATTGTACACTGAGTGGCTGTAATCCACTTATATTTAGATATAGTTGTTGCTTGCTTATATTTCTTGTTTGGAGAATTATTACTTTTCTTTTGACTGACTTACCTTTTATGGGTCATTATTATATATTTGTATTAGTTCTTTATGTTTTAGATATCATACCTTTGTTAGAGAAATTTGTTGCAAAGATTTTGCCCCAGCCAGCTGCTTCCCTTCTATTTCTCATTGTATTGATTTTGCATAAAATCTCTTTAATTTTATGTCATGAAAGTTGCCCATTTTATCTCCTGTGATCAATCCTTTATTTTTTGGTGAAAACTTCTTCTAGCTATAGTTGTGAAAGGTGCCTGGTCTCATTCTCTCTTCTTAATGATGAACCGTTACTCCAAAGGTGCTTTCAAGAGGGAAAGAGCCCCATTAGTGTAGGGGAGGGTGGTAATTTCAGAAAAGGCTTTGCCTCAGAGAAGGCCAGGGATTCTTCTAGACAGAAGTAAGGGGAGCACATTCCAGGCATGGATGGCCATCTGTGCAAAACATGCAGAGACAGTTTCTGTGCACGATGACTGTGATAGCTCTGCTTAAGTTTTGTTTTTTCTGCAGGCAAACTGGGAGAAAACTTGACTCTTAAGCGAGCTGCATGGGTGACTGTACCAAATGGATTCTACATTGGTTCCTATGTACATGGAGCAGTGCACAGTCCCTCCCTTGGTAACATGGTGCTTGGGAAATATGGCGCACTAGTCATCTGCCAGACATCTGAAGAGAAATTGAATCTTGAAGACCTTGGCCGACGGCTCGGGCAGCATGTTGTAGGAATGGCTCCTTTGTCTGTAGGCTCGATGGAAGATGAGCCTGGTGGAGAAGAGGAAACAAAGATGCTCGCCCAGCCTTATTTGCTGGACCCTAGCATCACGTTGGGACAGTATGTAAAGCCCCACGGTGTGTCTGTGGTAGATTTTTTGAGGTTTGAATGTGGAGAAGATTCAGGGGCAGCAAAAACAGAATAGATTCTGCAGACATTCTGGACCTTAAAATATTACTAACTGAACTACTCTATGTCCTGAGGGGGTTGGTTTGATCACTGATTCAGCAGTGCAGTACATGTGATCTGTTTCTCTCTGGGTTTATGGTAAAACTGAAAAGGTAATTCAGTGCAGCAGCTTTAAATAAAGATGCTTTCCTCCTTGTAGAATCTTGCCTTCTTCCTTGTTTGTAAAGTTGTGGGTTTTAGCTTTTTATGTCATGAATTTGACTCACTGTGTCGGTGACAGCCCCTGACTGAGCCTGTTAAAGAACAAGTAGCTTTATTGGGAATGTGGGAATGTGTGAGGCCTTTTGACTTGGAGTTGCTTATCTTGTATATTCAATGAAATCATGGCCTGTGTATGTTTTAATTCTGCTTTTCCCCCTGGTCATTCCCATTCATTTTAGCTCCAGTAAATGGCTCCAAGCAAATTTAAATAGTAAATATCTTAGAGAAACTTCACCAGAAATATCCCAAGGACACTAAGGTGTTCTCTCTTCTTCACCCCATTAAATCTGTTCCCCTAAGCTCAGGTAACTTTGTCTTGTTTTGGGCTGCCAGAGCCCTGTCCTCCATTTCCACTCATAATTATCCTAATTCACCTCCACTAACATTAACTGCCCTTGTGCGTGGCAATATATTATGTGCTAAGGATACAGAGACAAAAAGAGGAAACTATCCCTGAATTAAAAGAGCTTTTGTTGGGGGAGGGTGGTTTGAGGGGGGGATGTGTAGAGTATCCTTTGGACCAAGGTGACCAGAGCTCTAGTGAATACACATGAAGTAGCATCACAACTGTACCAACAGCTAGGGACCTATAGGGACTCAGGAAAGTCTTCTTGTAGTAGGTGGTACCCTGAGTTAAACCTTGAAGGAATCTAGGGATTCTAAGTGGCAGAGGTGGGGATGGAGTGCATCCCAGTACCTTTTCTCCTCTGATTGTCAGATTCAGAAAATCCTGAAAAGACTTGTGTGAACCTGTGGAATGAAGTAAGCAGAACAAGAGGACAGTTTGTACAATGATGATTGTAAAGGAAAACAATTTTGAATATCTGGGAAAAGACAGACAGCATGTCAGATTAGGAGTATAGTTAGTAGGCCAGTTTAGTTTAATGAAACTAAAGTGTTTTGGGAGTAGTACTATAAAATAAATTTGCAAAGGTGGGTGGGAGCCTGATGGGATCTTCAATGGCCAGCTGATTGTTTTGTATTTTATCCTAGAGATGAAGAGAGATTTGAGTAGAGGTGTGATGTAATTAGATATGTGTTTTGGGAAAAGCAATTTGGCAACTGTGTCAAGGACACATGGGAGAACAGTTTTGCTACCTTTGTTTATAATTTGCATCAGCCTCTAAGGTTACAGATTTAGGTGTTTGTAGAAGTTATGTCATCAGAAACTAATGAAAATGTAATTTGTGTTAAACTTAGGACTCCTTTCCATCTGAAACTGATTCAAAATACAGAGGTCACTGGAAAATGTGGCTCATTTCTGGATGTTTATGGCATACTTTGAAGATAAGTCCCTAGTGGCCCACATGCCCATGTGGCAGTGGACTTGTTACTGAAATGAACACCAAATGGCTTCTTTCTTGCTTGAATCTTTTGGCATGACCAAGATGTTTTTGTTTCTTAGACAGCTATTAGACACACTTTGTTCTATTACTGTAGATATTGCTCTATTCTCATTTCCACTCTCCCAAACCTCCCAGTACAAAAACATTCCACAGATGTGAAATTCATGCTGTATTTGTTGTATGAGCAATTGAGGATGTTGCTAACATTCCCTTTTACAGGGGGGCCTTGATTTAAAAAGATGTCTGGGACCTACCAGGAGGTGTATGAAAACTGCCTATAGATTTCAGTGTCTTGTGAATTGGTTTTTTTTGTTTGTTTGCTTGGTATTAATCATCTTGATATCTAAACCTTATGTCTGAACACCAACATTAAACCATTGCCCTCATGATGATTTTTTAGGACTGGCAAGTTATATGTGAACTATCTGACTTACTGTCTTTGTTTTTCTGCTCTGGTTTCTCTAAATTCATGCAGATCATGGAAATCAGAACAGATAATTATTATATGTATTTAAACAACTAAATAATGGCAAAGATATTCATTCTAGGTAACATGCACTTTGCAAAACTCTCTTGCTTCTCTGTGTAGCTAAGTATATTGTGCTAGACAGATAAATTCTTCCCTCGTAATTGGCACTATCTATTCTCTAGTATTGCCACAGATAGAAATTTGCTTTCATTCTTTAAAAAAGCCCCTTTTCTTTCTTCAGGTTGAGCTGTTTCCAGCCAGGCAAAGCAGCAAATTTTCCTCTCGGGATGCCAAATACAGCAACAAAGTCTTCATCAGAGAGGTAATTCTAGGAGACAGAAAACAGAACATTTCTGACTAGAGGTTCTGGAGGATCAGGCACATGTTAGTACAGAAGGAAGGTATTTTGCTTGAATAACATATCTCCTTTATAAATGCTGGAGGGAGAAAGATGACAATCTTATGCCCTTGAGCTTGGGGGGAAAAATCTAGACTTTTTAATCTTTTTGGTATAAATGGTTAGCAATCTAGGGTCAGATTTTTGGCCTGAAGAAGTAGGCATAGTGTGGAATATTGTCTCATTGAGCAGAATAGGGAGTTTTATACGTGTGTGTGTGTGTGTGTGTGTGTGTGTGTGTGTGTGTGTATGTAACTATAAAATGGGTTATAAATGATATATGAGCCACAAACATTGGATGAAGTGGAGAAAACATAATTCTAATACTGATGCTTCTAGCCTAATTTGAGTTCTCTAGCTTCTTTAAAGATGTTGATTACAACTCACTAGCAGTGTGACTCTGGGCAAGTCACTTAATCCCAATTGCCCCCCCCCCAAAAAAAAAAAGGAAGTTGGTTACAAGATTGTATGCATTATAGAATTCCAGTTCAGAGGTTCTTCTCGATTAAAGATACTCAGTAGGAATAACCAGACTACAAAGAAGAGGACCTTTTTCTACCTAAAAGAAAATCCTATACTGACCTCCTTTTTGGCAGGGTCTACATCCTTAGGTAGCTCATGTTGCTGATTTTTCAGCAGCACTTCTATAGGGTAGTATTTTTGTTCACTGCCACCAGCATTCAGAGAGAGGGAAGCACCATTCATGTCCTGGAAAGAGAGATTTGCATGTGTTTACAGTAAAGGATTGTTCAGAGCAGCCAGCTTCCCAGTTGCCCCAACAACCATGCTCTCCTGTTGTTAACCTCTCACCTGGAGGATTGCATTATCTGCTAAACAGCTGGGGAGTTTTTCGTGAATGCAGGGATTTTAAATCTCATCTAAATACTGGTATTACTTCATTTGCTGTGGTACTTTGACTCATGTCCTTCATACTGTTTCAGTATGTTTCAGTCTACTCATAGAACAACATATTCCTGCATGCTATGTATAACTTACAGAATACTGTTTTCATGATCAGGAGATCATACCTGAAAATCATTGCCTCAGTGACAGTGTTTGTCCACATTTGTAAAGCAGAGTTCTAGGCAGTTTGCATAATTTTTAAATAGAGTGTCTGGTAACATGAGTTTGAGAACTGGGGAGGGTAGAAGATAGGGGGGCAGACTATTTGCTTCTGAAAACACATAGCCTGACAGTCAAAATATTAGTGGCAAATCATTCCACCCTGTTGGTTGTCTTTTATCCTTTTAAATGGATCTAAGTAACTTAGGGTGTTAGTTGTTTTATACAACAAGAGCTGCTAGGGGGCCCAGTGGATAGAGCACTGGACCTGGAATAAGGCAGGCCTGAGATCAAATCCAGCTTCAACACTTAACAAGCTGTTACTCTGGGCAAGTCACTTAGCCTTATCGGCCTCAGTGTCCTCATCAGCAAAAAAGGAATAATAATAGCACCTGTCTCCCAGCGTTGCAAAGGTAAAATATTTGTAAAAGCCTCTTGTAAAGTGCTATGTAATTGTTAGCTATTTAAAAAAAAACAGCTAATGAAAATGTTATTTCTGTTAGAAATGGACTGGCCTAGACTGGCTTTGTGCCATTTTCCCTTTATGATATCTTTGAGAATAAGTCCAACTCACAGCAGTGATTCTCACAATTGCAGCAGTGTCTCCCAGCTCTTCCTTTAACTGTTCATATGATTTGCCTTCCTGTGGGAATATAGAACACACAGGGTGAGGTTGTAAGGAAAGGTCATTTGTCACCCAGAACATACTCTTTCAGAGACAGCACATAGTCATCCATTTGCAGGGAAAGATTTTGCTTAACATGATTTCCATTTCATTAGTACAGAAATAGCATTCAACATAAGGAAATTAGTTGTTTTGTAAGTAACTTGTAAGCATATGTAGAGCCTGCTCTGGGGAATATACTGGTTGCTATGATAGATAAGAAGTAGGATAGAAACCAATGGCCACATCCTCCCAGTAGATTCTCAGTAGCTGTCTTGTTCATTTGCTCTCTTGCTCCTTACACTCCAGATATGAGGGTCCCAGGCCAAGAACCAGCCTGTAAAGATGGGTGGCTCAAACCCCTGTTTGATGATCAGGATAGGTGTGTCAGTCTCTCGGCCACTGGGGTGAGTGTGTAAGTACTCCTGGGCTGAAGTGAAGGCTCCCTCTTTTTCTGTGGCATTAGCTTCAGCACCAATCCATAAGAATACCTGTGGTGTTAAAGATTTAATATTTTATGTTTTAGATGGTGGCATATATGGTGATTGGCCTTGAAGTCAGGATGACTTTATTTTAGCTAATTACCCTAGGTAAGTCACTAGACCTCTTGGTATCCCAGGTAACTTTCTAAGACTGTAAGTAACAGACAGTTGCGTGTTTTTATTGGTGGAGGAAATTTCCATCATGGATAGAATTCACAGGTCTGGACCAAAATATATATAATATGTATTATGTAATACAGGTTTATAACTGGATGGTCCCTTAGATGTCATGAAGTCCAAAACCCTCATTTTACAAATAAGGCAGGAAGTTTTCACAGAAGTGGGATTTTAACTTGGATCCTTTATCACAAATCCATAGATCTTTCCATTGTATTATACTACTTCTTAAATCTGTATATGACATAGGCCTCCTTCCAGGAGTTCATATCCTTGGGAAGCTTTTCCTCATGTGGATTACTTATCAGAGAGTCTATTGGGTAGCTATGTTTTACAGATGAAATAAATTGAATGATGGACTGCCTTTGAAGACTGACTTTATGACTGCTCTCTAGCCCTTCCTTCTCTCTCTCTTTTTTTTTTAATTTTAGGGCTTGCTGTTAATTTTAGTGGAAAAAAAGTTTTTCTGTAAGATAACTTTTGTAAAGCAACCTGTAAAAATTACCATACTTGCTAGGATATTAGGCTGAGTTTCCAGGCATCTTACTGCTCTCTCTCACCTTAGAAGAATACAAAAAGGGCAGCTTATCCCATTGCCTATGGCAGTTGACCTGTTGTCCTCTGAAGTGGTTCATTCCTGACTTGTGGGCAGATAAGCCAGAGTGCATGAATCTTTGTTATGAGTTCTGGGCCCTATAGATGCTGCTTACCTGGTCCCAGGTGTCCAGGAGCATCACATCACTTGGGTTTAGGTCATCCTGTATGAAATCTGTGATCTCAGTGATAATGAAACGACCAGTCTTATTGGAACACTCAAAGAGACGGGGTTGGACATCAAGGATTTCCTGTTGGAGTCTGCAAGGTAAAGTCTGTTATATGAAAACAAGCTTACTTGAAAAGTAATTTTGGAGTTTTATGGGACTTAAAATATCGTATAATCTCAATATGATGAGCTATTTGTTAGTCCTGCATGTTTAGTATAAGAGTTGAAGGGTGATAATTCTGTCCTCAGATTCACCTTTTGTCATTGGCATAAGGTACTTTCCCTCCTAATGAGTCCCAAAATGCTGCTGGCTCCTGTCCTTCAGCCACGGTGTCCTCAGTGCCATTGCAGAGCACTCCAGCTAATTCTTTTGCCATTGCTCGCTCATCACCACTGGAACCCTGGGGTTAGAATGAAAATAGGAGAGCCTTAGCCTACCCTGGGCTGCTTGTAGAATAAGAAACTTATGGGACTTCACATATATAGGCTAGGTATCGAGCCATAATCACCAGTGATTAGAAATATGATTATTGTTATTTGTAGTGCTTTTAAAGAGGGAGAATTGAATATGGAGGTTATTCTGTTTGTTTTAGTTAGGGAAAGGAAGGAACATGGATAGTTCTCGTTTTACATAAATTCACATTACGCAAATCTGACTTTATGTAAAGAATTCTGAAAGAAATATGCATTCCAGAAAAACCTGTGTTAACTTACAAAGTACACTACTGTGTTCTCTCTGATGCTGCTACTCAGTTTGGCATTCTGTGGCCTCCCCACCACCACCAATAAAACCCCCTCCAAGTCACAGTAGAAGAATGGATGCTCAGAGAAACCACCACTGTGGCCATGGCAGGACTGGGGGCTTGACTTGAGACTGAGACCATTGCCCTGCTCTGCTTACCTGCCTGTGTGCCTGGCCTCACCATGTCTGTCTTCCATCTGTCTGTGCTCAGGTACTGGATGTTTGTCCTTGGCTGCTGCATGTTCCTCAAGCTCTCCATTCTCTATCCTTGGCCCCTGCGTGTCCTTGAACCATGTGGTGGCCCATTCCTTCCATGGGCACACAGCCCCTTTCCTGTCTTCCTCCTTCCCTCCTTTCCCCACATACTCAGCTAAATTCAAATTACATAACAATTACTTTATGTAGAGGTCTATAAAATGGTCAGCTTAGGTAAAGTGAGAATTGTCTGTAATAGCAAGATTCTTTCATCTATGGGATAGATTGACATGCGCTCTATTTGTTTCAGTTTGATTTTAGTAGCCATCATCATAGCTCTATTTTAAAGTAATTTTTAATGCTTTTGAATGAGCATGCAAATTTGAATTGGGGAATGGAGCTGATTAGTTTAAAATTACAAAACTGTCATTGTAACTGAGATGGAAAGATCTTCACGTCCAGCTTGCATCCTAAGGAAGATCACAGAACTGAGTTTGGTCTGCCCTGGTGTTTCCTTTGGCCTTATAATGGAGGTTCTGATGAAAAGTAATTCTATGAAATGCTTATGTTTCTTTTTAGGATCCCTTGGGGAAGATGACTCTTTATTCATTGTCTGTCCTTTCCTTGAGTTCCTTTGACTTTTCTATTGGGAAGGAGAAAAGAGGAAGAATGCCAGTCCATTTTACCTTTCCATACCAGAGGTAGTGTTCATTTTGTGTCTGCAGCAGAAAGACATCATTGGAATTCAGAGAAGAGGCAAATGCTGGTACCTCCACAGCTTTGGTGTTGGATTTGTCATTCCCTTGGATCTGGAATAGTCTCACAGGAGGGTCAGGTTCAGTACTTGCCTTCCTGGATGTTCCACCCTATGGAGAAAAGAAAACACTTTGAGCCTGTTAGTTCACAGTTCACTGTAGCTAGGGATGCCATAGAGAAAAAAGTAGCCTGCATTAAGAGGAACATAGGAGATCAAATGTATATTAGCTATGGATTTATAATGTTAAAAGTTTGTAGGTTGGAAACTAGTTGTGAGTTCCTTAATCATTAAGATTTTATTGAATACCTGTTGTATGTCTAGATCTATGTGAGGTACTCTTGGGGATGCACAATAATAATTTTATGTGTATATGTGTGTTAAATGAAGTCCATGCAGCAGTTTCTGAGGTATTGTAAATATTCTAATTTTATAGAAAAGGAAAGTGAAGCTCAGAGAGTTGAATTGATTTCTACAGGATCACACAGCTTGTAAATTTCAACAGCTTGTAAATTTCAACATTAGGAGTCAAATTCATGTCACCATCCCAAGGCCAGTACTCTTTTCTACTGTGCTGTGCTGCCTATTTAAATATATTCAATAAGAGTTCTAGCAAAATGGCAGAATGAGTGGTTGCAACCAACCCCAGGTCCCCTACTCTATCAGAAAAGTGACAAATGCACCAAATTAAATGAAAGAACAACCAAAAAAGAGGGGAAAGAAGAGACATCCTCATAGGACAAACCTCATGGAAAGGAATAGAGAAAAAACACCAATACAATAAGTATGTAATATGAAATAAAAGTAAGGCTAAATCTCCAAAAAGAAGGAATGTGACTACAACAGTAATATCCACACCTCCAGAACAGGGAGTAGACATCTAACAGGCACCTTCAGAGAAATCCAGAATCACTTTAAGATATAAGGGGAAAATTGGCATTTATAAAATTAGACCATTGGAGAGAGAATTCAAGATATGAACACAAGAACTGACAACATAGAAAAGACAATGGAAAATTTCAGTGAGGAAGATAATTTCCAATGAGTAGTGTGGATCAGAAAGAATAAAAACATGTAGTACTAAAAGAAAAAAAAAACCACAGCAAAATTAAAAAATAGCAAAACTAACAGAAAACTTCAGATCTCTATAAATCAAAACAGTAAATCTAAAAGACTTTGGTGAGACAGTCTGAGAATTACTGGTCTCAAAAGAAATAGAGGCTGAATGCTGTATCGAAGGAAATAAAGAACATTGCTTGGAAGTATTAAAATTAAAAGAGTGTAAATTGATAGAATTCACAGGTCACTGAGAGGAAGGAACCCCAAGTTTAACTCACCTAGAAATGTAGTTGCCAAGTTCTAGAGCTTCAGTGTCAAAGAGAATCTTGCAAATTGCCTGGAGGAAGCAGTTCACACATCAAAAAGCACCAATTTGAGTTGTGCAAAACTACTCATTGACAGTGAGAAATGAAAGAAGAGGGTGGAATTGAATATGCTGAAAAAGAGAAATTGGCTGCAGCCCCAGATTGTCCATATTAAAAAATTAAGGCTATGCTAACATGGGAAAGGACGATGCTTCAGTGAGGTACAAAAATGTATTTCCTGCTGACAGCCTAAATTGGATAGGATGAGTATATGAGTAAGTAGCTGAAGCTAAATTTGATGATTTAGTTTTGAATACAAGTAGTGAATGAAAAATGACAGTCTTTATGAACAGTAAGGAGGTAGTTTCTAAGTCATACTTATAAGGATCATTGAAAATAAGGGCTGGGGAAAGCATCCTTTGAAATGGGAATAGACAGAACTAGATCATCTGAAGGACAAAAGGGAAGGTGGAAAGAGAAATTATATTTTAAAAATCTGGGTACAACTAGTGAAGATTAAACAGAAATAGGAAGTAGAAGAGAAAGAGTGATTCATAAACGACATACCTGGGGAATGATTTTTTTAAAAGATTGGAGAATACTTTTTATATAATATATAGACAGTTCTTGCTTTACATAAATTCATATTATGAAAATTAGACTTTACATAAAGAATTCTGAAAGAAATCCACATTCCCCAAAAAAAAACCTCTTTTTTTTTTTTTTTTAGAAAGGCAATTGGGGTTAACTGACTTGCCCAGAATCACACAGCTAGTAAGTGTCAAGTGTTTGGTCTGAGGCTGGATTTGAACTCAGGTCCTCCTGACTTGAGGGCCGGTGCTCTATCCACTGCACCACCTAGCTGCCCCAAAAAACACCTGTCTTAAATTTAGGTACAGTACTGTACTCCTTGGAGTGTGTGCCAACCTCCTGTCTCCATGGTCATATATCTTTCTGCCTGCCTTCTTACCCCATGTCTTCAAGCAAATTCATGTTATGTAAAAATTGCTTTATAGATAGCTGTGGAATGGTCCACTTAAGTAAAGCAAGAACTGTCTGCAGAATAATACTGAATTATTACAAAGGGTTAGATAAGTTTTGCTATGTTTAGTTACAAGGTAGTGGGAGAGTGGTAACAGTGGATGGGTGTTAGTATAAGGAGATAAGACTTGGTTATTAAACAAAACAGGCTGTATGGCACTGTGTACCTATTTAAAAAAAAGCAGTGGGGTGGGGTGGGAAATAATACCAAAGAATCTAATGGAAGGAAAATCTTAACAGTACTCGGAAATGTTAATGGGCTGAATATACCAATAAAAAGGAAACTAATTGCTGACTAGATTAAATCGAAAATAAAATCTGATTAACTTGATGATTACAATAAACACATTTAAAGCACAGAGATTTAAGCAGAGCAAAGGATTAGAATAAAATCTGTTATTTATCAGGCAAATTTTTAAAAAGCAGTATTTGCAGTTATGATTTTGGATAAGCAATAGAAAACATATAATTAAGAGACCTAAAAATTAAGCTAAATAATTAGATAATGAAACATATTAACATTAACTATATATGCACTGAATATAGTAACTGAATTAGCAAAAGCTAACAAATAACAAAAGTCCTAGAAATAAGATACTAATTTTAGAAAGCAGTAATGTTCTCTGCAAGGGCTTGAACAATCCAACAGAAAGACAGAAAAGAAATTATAGGTTTGGACAAAATGTTAGAAAAACTGGATTTGGTAAACCTGTAAGAGATTTCTGAATGGAACTTTTAAAGAATTCACATTTCTCAGGCTCCTATAGTATTTGCACAAAAATTGATTAAATGCTAGGGCACAAAGAACTTAGAAGTGCAGACAAAAGGCAGGAATATTACATCGGTTACAGATCCTTGCAAAAGAGCTAAAAATGCACAACTAAATGACATCCTAAATAATGAGTAGGTCAAAGATCAAATCATGGGAAGAGTAAGAAAATCTTTATATGTTAAATAAAGGAGTTTCTTTTTGGTCCTTGAAGCAATAAGAAGCCACCAGAGTTTGTTGGGGGTTAGGAGGTTTGACATCAGAAAATCACTTTGGTAGTTGTTTGTGGGATAGATTGGGGTGGGGAAAGATGAGGCTGGGAGACCAATTAGAACTGCTTTTTGCAACAGTCCAGGCAAGACTTTGAAAGTTACATCTTGAATTTATTATATATGTGTGTGTGTGTGTGTGTGTGTGTGTGTGTGTGTGTGTGTGTGTGTGTGTGTGTGTGTATTTTTCCCCCCCTGGTTAGGCAGTGGGGTTAAGTGACTTGCCCAGGGTCACACAGCTAGTAAGTGTTATATGTCTGAGGCCAGATTTGAACTCAGGTCCTCCTGAATCCAGGGCCACTGCACCACCTAGCTGCCCCGAATTTGTTATATTTTTTAAAATAAAAAGAATCTATACACAATAGAGGTTTACAGTTTCATGTATCAACTTCTTTTTCTGTTATGTATGTGGAAATACTAATTTTATTTGATGTGTTTTTTGGAATAAAAAAAAGAAAATAATCCAGGCAAGAGGAAATGAGAGCCAAAACTAAAGTACTGAGTAAGTAAAGAGGAAGGCGTTGTATGAAAGAGATATTCTGGACATAGAAGAGACGAGATTTGACAACCATTGAATATCAAAATTACCTAGGGGATACTTTGAGAAGTAGACAAAATAATAAAATATATCTGGAACAATAAAAGGTCAAGGATACCTAAGAAAGTTTTTAAAAATTAGAATAAAATTACCATAACTCAAATTTTAAAGCCGTAATTGTCAAACTATCTGGTAATAAAAATAAGTTAATCAGTAGAATAGTTAGGATGAGTGTGGGGTCCCGATCGGGGAAAAGCTATAAAATACAGTAATAAAGACATAATAAAGAAAAGATATAAAAACTTAAGTTCTGTGAAAGGTAGAAGCCCCAGGATGATGACTGACCTGTTAAAAATCATAACTTGGATACTGAATCATAACTTAGACACTGAGTCATAACTTAAGATACTATGACCTATGAAAGCCATAACAAGATTGTGACCCATATGTGACTGGTACATGATCATACACAAACTTATGTTTGGGCATAACACTGGCTTAATATCCAAGTTCATTAACTAAGCAGAAAATCAAAAATATCCACCAATCAGTAGTGATGCACTCTCTAGCTCCTCCTCCCTTTGTTTTCTTTAATTACCATGGGAATTTTTAGGGTTTGTTTGCAGGGATCCACTGAACTGTCTGCCACCCCAGAACAAAGACCACCCCCGTTTTATAAATATTTGTAATGATTGATTAAACTGCTACCTACAATAAATCTGGAGATCTTTGGCCTCTTCCTTTAGTATCAAAAAGAACATCCTATGATTTCGGGGGACATACAGGGTTCCCCAGCCAGGGGGATTCTGGACCTTACAATGAGCAAGTCTTAGAAATTAGTGCAGTAGTACGGTCTTTATAAACAACACAATAATAACACAATATTTGGGAAAGAACTCTTCAGCAAGAATTGCTGCAAAAACTGGATAGCAATTTGATAAGAAAGAGGTTGACGCTAGAATCCTACAACAGACACAACTGTAAGTTCCAAATGGATAAGTGAGCTATATGTTTGGAAATCCATTAAAAAGAAGAGAATGGAAAGTTAAATCGTTTACAAATATAGATAAAGGATGCCATCACATAATATTGTAAAAGACCAGATTGGGGCAGCTAGGTGGTGCAGTGAAT